TTGATGTTGTCGTTGCTGTTGTTGTTGATGTTGTCGTTGCTGTTGTTACTGTTGTAGTGGACGCTGTTGCTGCTATTGTTGAATTTGCCGTACTCGGGTCTATTTTGAAAAAAATGATTTTAAAGTAAGACTAAACGATTCGATAAAGTTTTTTTTCCTGCTTTTGTAATATTGTATAGACGTTAAACATCAATTGATTGTAATAAAATAGGATATTTTTAAACGATTTCTATTATAATTATAATTCTACGATGTTTCCGTTAAGTATATCCCTGCTATATAACTTTCGACAACTCAATTTACATTTTTTATAAGTTTAATAACAGAGAAACTTCTCAAATTACAAAGATTGAATTATATAAGATTTGCATATTGTTTCTTTTTTTTGAAATCTTTCATTTTTATTTAAAATGAGATTCTGATCAGAAACTAATTTTAACTGAAAGAGGAAAGACCACAGTTTATGAGTATCTATTACAAAATCGAATGAACTCAGAATGATCTAACTTATGATTTTCTTCTGTCCAGTTTAAGTTGAATTTTCCTGTAAGACTTAACGAGATGCAATATTACTAAACTCAAACTACTTGTGATCATCATTCTAATAAAAAAAATCCTATAAGTACTTATGTATTTCGTAAGGATCTGTCGAATACGTTATATTTCTGTGGAATTTCGGTGAAATTTGTTTCAGAGACATCGATATTTTGTATAGATTTATGAATATGAAAAGCATAATATCCATAGACGTTTCATGGAATAATAATCTCATTTGTTTTTCTTCCTTATTCTTTTAATATTCGACTGTATTAATTGTTTAGTTTCAAGTCTCACAAATATTTTGTTTTACTAAGATATTTTCAAAGTGGAATTCGAAAAATAAGACCATTTGATTGAAAAAGAATTATTTCCAAAAAAAGATTTTCGCTGATGTTCAATATCTCTATCAAGTTGTGTTAGTTCTCGATAACTTAAAATTATTTTTGCCGAAGAGAGTAAATTTTTCTCTCTTAAAGATATATTTTCTTCTAAATCTTTTTTATTTATACTGACCTGGTGGAAATCGTGTTCCACTAATAATATTCATACTAGTCGCATCTACATCAGCCAACAGATTTCCGTTTTGGTTCAACATATTATCGAATAGTTCACAATCAGAAGTTGATCGATGAAAAGTGGCTGCTATGCATTGATTTTGAGTTAAACAGGTTACTTGACAATTTCTAACGTTTGATGTAATAACATTAATGAATGGTAAACAAGTTGTATTGGCACATTGAAACTTGAAATCAGGCATTAAATACATTTTCATTGATCGTATATCTTCTCCGATTGATTGTGTGATAATTAAAAATAATAGGCATAAACATACTCTTGTTGAAGCCATCACCAACTAGACTGTAAGTTGGTGAAATGAATTTAACTCATACAATAGAAGAGAAAGTATTTCTTAAACAATAAATTCTATTTTTTTTTGTTTATTTCTCTCTTTTCTTCTCTTTTCAGTATGTAGCGTATCTTTTTTTCTCAGTTTATTTGATCAACCTAATGAAAAACATGAAGAATAAAGTCGATCATGAGTATACAAATGGAGTTGAGTGATTGGACGACCCATTTGATTAAACAGGAGAGCTAAAACAAACTGTACAGTGTTCCTAACTTAAACTCACTGTATTTGGATTTTTCAAGTGTGTATAACAAACAATATAACAACATTTTGAAAATGTCTTATGTGTTTTTCTGTCGTATTGCTTCTATTCTTGCATTTTGGATTGAAAAAAGAATTTTTTGGCTTATAATTCAATAGATAATCACATTTTTCTTTATCAATGCGAAAACTGATTCAAACAGTTATGATTAATGTCTATGTAGAATAGTATTAATTGAAAATAAAACAAACAGTTTTTTTTACTTTTCTGAAACAATTGTTTATTATATCAATACGTCCAAAACTTTTTTTCTCGATAAAAATATTGAGTCAGTAAATATTTACCTTATTTTCCTTTCTTCTTCTTTCGTTTGTATATTGATATGATCTTTTATGTATTTTATATGCAAAAGCAAAAAAAAATTAATTAGAAATTCTTTTCAATTTTTCTTTAGTAAACATCTATCGGTTATAATCACAATAACAAGAACTTTGTTTTGATTTTATAAAAAAAAAATTAAATGTAAATAAATAATTACGGTAACAAACGGTAATTTTCTAAGAAAAGAAAACACTATCTCCATGATTACATTAGAAAGTCGGCCAAACTAAGTTGATGACGTCTTCTTAAGTTTGAGTATATCATGTACAACTCCAATACACATAATTAATTTCAATGACTAAAGATCTATGTTAGTTATTTTAGATATTAATGTCACTAAATTGTTTATTGAATAATATGTAGTATGCAAAAATAATAATTCAAAGATTTATTAACGATAAAACATTGATTCATGGATTTTATATTAATTGAAATTTATAAATGTTTGTTTATCTTCTTACTTTGAATCAATATCAACTAGAGAGTATTATGATTATATCTGTTGTGATTGTAATAGAGAAGAACAGATCACTGATGATTGAGTAAATAATAATAATTATAATCGTACACATGAAGTGCTACTTCCGAATAGAGTCAATAGTGATAATATGAATCACAACTTCTCCCTACATACATATTCATTCGACGCTTGAAAAACACAATATTCTTATATAAATTCAAGTCAACACTGATTATGAGAATAAATAATAATAAGCGAAAAAAAAACAAAAGAAAGAAACAAAACAGAAATATTTTTTTAATTATTTTTTATTTTAAGAAGAAATTAAACAAATATAAATATGAATACTTGTTTAATAATTGTAAAGGAGAGGAAGAGAAACAAAGAGGAAAAGAGAATAGTAAATATTTTTAATCATAAATTAATGTATAATACGCGAGGTTTTTCGAATTTCTTTTCAAGCAATGTGTGAAGAGAGTTTTTGTAAATGTTATTATAAAATGATATTAATCCATGTCATTAATGAGAAGATTATTGTAAGTGATGATACTAATGCAGAAGATCTTATAAAAAATGATATTAATGCAATATTGATGCAGAAGAATAGTTATCAATGTTGTGGTTTTCAATACGATTATTTCAAGAGGTATATTGTTATATTAGTTAAAGAATTTTTGGTAGGGCAGTTTTTCACAACAGGAGGCGTACGCTGCGATCGATCGTTTTGTTCTTCAAATAAAAATGAACCATGTTCGAATAAGATTTCATGATGAGAAGATTCTGTTCAGATTTCCTTTCTTAACATATAATCAAAATCAAAATTATTTTTAATAATAATTATAGGAAGTTTTCTTTCAGAAAAGGGTCTGCGAATTCGTAGGATGAGCGTTACTTGTGTATATTAGAAAAACAATCAATCGAGAAATGACATGATTTTGTGATAGGCAAACTTAACTATCATATCTATGTATCGTGACGACATTAACATATGTAATTTATACGAGATTTAGTAGAGCTTATTTGAACAATATATTTTTCAGTTTTATAAAAATAAAGAAAAAGTATTTGGGTGTAAGCAATATCGTAGAAAGAAAGTAGATGATTATATATTACAATCATAGTTGAAGAGAAACAAAAAAAAAGTAAAAAGGTTACGACACTCGGTATTCCCAGGCGGTCACCCATCCAAGTACTAACCGAGCCCGACGTTGCTTAACTTCAGTGATCGGACGAGAACTGGTGTATTCAACGTGGTATGGCCGTAACCGAAACAAGCTACCCTCAGACACCCTTATAAACTTCAGATTATTTACTAAGTCATGTGATTTGTGCTATTTTCTAAATGTTTATAATTTTTTTGTATGAATAAGCTGCTTCTAATCAAGTTTATTTAGATAGAAAATGATTTTAGTAGTCATGCTTGATTACTTTATTCTATGTCGTAAGTAAATAAATAAATGTTTTGAAAAGACTAAAATCTTTATTTCTATACGTCATTTCATACATTCCAAAAACAAATTTTAAATCTATGAATAGTTGAATATTAGTCAGATGACAATCAATTAAATATTTCTCTACTTTTCTTTGAATTGATTTATATAAATGTAATGATCTAATGAGTGAAAAACTTTTTATCTTTAGAATTATATTGGAACAAAATATGTCATATTGCAAATGATTTATTTTTAGTCTTCTTCGAAGATGAAAACAAAATATCTAATTTAAATTATTTATGTTTCTATTTTTGAAGAGAAATTACTTCATAAATTGATTTTAAGTGAAGGAGTGTTCATCATAAAATGTGTCAGTATTATGTCCGTAGTGATCTGCATGATAAAACTAAAGGAAAGGAAGAAAACGATATTTGCCAGAATGATTAGTAATTGTGATTGTTGATACTTGTTGCTTTTCACTCTGACAAATTGAATAGAAACAATTTGCTGCAAAGTTCTTTATTTTCTCCTATATTTCTGTCTATTTTCCCATTTTATCTATATTATGCAGAAGAAATAGAAAATGCGCCTCTTAGAAACCTATGAATTTAGTAATATAGAGTCTTCAGTCTGCAATGAATATGCGATTCGAGCGAATAAAGAAGAAGAAGAAGAAGGATGAGAATGTGGATAAGAAGTGAATGAAAAATCTACACATACCATGGTTTATCGATGAAACAATCAGATAACGAGTATAAAATATTTTCGAAGAGTGAAACAACAACGATAGTTTCTTGAAAATATCTTAGAAAATGAGATTCTCATGTGAAAATAATATACGTTTGTTTCAATTAAAAGAGAAAATGTTTTAAATATTAGTTTGTTTGTACACTCATATCTCTCGAATTTTATGATATAACTTATTTTATTTTCAAATATATCAAGAGATTCAGTAGATAGATATACACTATCATATCTTCATTATCTACACGCGCTATTGTGAAATACTATCTATTCTTCATATTTCATCCATTGCTTACCCTTATATTAATATAATATTGTAAACTCTTGTAAAGTATTCAATTGTTTATGAGCAATACACTTAAATCGGTTATGCAATCTTCATCATTTTTTCTTTTTTGATAATAAAGGTATCCCTACATTTCGGCCTTTTTTTATCCCTTACTATTCGTCCTTTTTTAGTTTGTCCTAAATGCTTTTTGTCCGATTTCATTTTGTCTCTTTACAATGCGTCCTAATTATCTCTTGTCTCATTACATTTCGGCCTCTTGCATCTCGTTCCAAAAGTTAAGTATTCATTTTTTACCACGATAATATGAATTAAAATTTAGGGTGAATGTGGGTGTGGGGCGGACGTAAATAGAGAAGATACATATACCTACACCCTCACCCTCACCCACACCCTAGAAAAATAAAGAACCAGGGATCCTCATGGGATGGGATGGGACGACTTTTCTTTTTGACATATCCCATGGGATGGGATGGGATGAAGTCTCGTTCCCACGGGATGGGATGGGATGAGTCTTGCCTCCCATGGGATATATGATTTCTTTTTTTTTAAGAAAAATACTATTTCGAATAGAAGTTGCATTTGACAAGCGGTAGACATAAGTAATATATTCATCGCTTTTCTGTATTGATTAATAGTTTTTACTCTAAACATTATCAAACAGATAAATAAAGCAATGATAAAATTAGAAATCAGAAAAGGAAATCTAAATATTATTAGATCAATAGTATAAAATATTTCATTTTCTTTCGTTATAATGTTTACTCAATATTATTTGTCGTTGAATTTAATTTATATTTTTGTACTGATGTATATGATTAATCTTTTTTGCTGATAATCGGAGCTTTTCTTTGATTTTATTAGGGGAGAGGAGAAGACAGAAACTAGAGAGATAGTCTCCCGAAACCAGGTAGAAAATCTTAAGATCAGAGAGAAATGATCTACAGGTCATAAGAACTTTCCTCTTTGCGAGAAAACGGCTAATTCTCCTTGAAAACTATTGTAAAAGCCTTTTTCTACACCTAAAACAATTGATTTTAGTCAATTCTTCAAAACCTCTCTTTCTCTTTTAAAGGAAGTTTTTTCTTTTGCATGAATCCTTTAAATTAGTGCTATAAAGAATACCAAAAAGTAGTCAATAAAGAATTTTAGGGGAAAAACTATAGCAGAACAAAAAATTAAGTGGGTAAATATTTCCCTGCTTCCCACCCTAATCGTATGGTCTGTTGATAATAGTATTGCTGTTTTGTATTTTCTTATTTTTTTTTGTGTTTTGAGAAAGTACTATTGTATAGAGAAAAGTATTGAGGTAACTCTTATTTTATATTTATAAAAAATAGATTATCATAAAGAATGTGTCATAAATGTAAATGATCATTTGATTTAATAAAACATATTGCAGAACTAAATTTAATTTTCAATAGAGTTTTATTACAGTGTGACATATCCCATGGGATCCCATGGGATGGGATGGGATGAATATTGTTTTTCAGAGGATCCCATGGGATGGGATGGGATAAGTCGCATCGTCCCGTGGTACGAAAACTCCGTCCCATCCCATCCCATGAGGATCCCTGTAAAGAACCTTTTGTTTTATTATAAAAGAAAAGGTTCTCTTACTTCCTATATGACCTTATGATAAAAAAAATAAAGATAGATTAAGATGCATTCGATGGGGAAATCCCGACCATCGAGTCAACGAAAGTAATGAAATGAATCACTGTTTCTGTTGCCCTTCAACTGAATATGCGAAAAAAACTTTACTACAATGGAATTTCCCCATCGAATATATGCTATTTTATCTTTATTTTTTCTATCATCTTATTATTTAGGAAGTAAGAGAACCTTTTCTTGTATAATATTTGTTATCTCTCATGCAGAGATAAAATATTTGGGGCCAACGGTTTTCCCCTATAAATATACAAAACAACTGCATCGGCTTCATTCTTGGTATCATCATTATTACAGATCACTTCAAGTGAATTACGGTAAGATACAAGCGATTATGGAATAAGTTCGACAGGTTTTCTCCAAAAAAAATAGAATCTGACATCGAAGTACACATGATTTCCTAAAATAAAACTGAGATGAATATGGATCGTCGAATTTTCTGAAAAACAGTATCAGAACATTTGAGTTTATCTAAAGTACGTGTTTCATGCAATATAATCTCGAAATTAGAAATTTTCGACCAGCATTTTGTTATGAAAATAGCGATGTCCGAGACAACAATGTATATATAAATGCGGTCGATCATATTAATTGAGAAATACTTTCCTACTGTAAGCGGTTAAATCCTACATTAAAATATGACTAACAGTCTCTGATATAACTTATAACTTTTATTTTACAATAAATATCAAAGATCAATAGTTATGTAATTGTGTTTTCTATTTCAACTCAAAAACAAAATCAAATTGAAGCTAAATCAATTAATGAGACTTAGTTCAAGAGATATTTATTATTACATATTTTGAATAATAGACTTTTATAGTTGATTAATGATCACTTTATTGATTGCTTTTTGATCTTTACTTCTAGATATCACAAGTTCAACGTGCCAAATTCAAACATAATAAAAGAATGAAAATTGGAATTATTTCAACAATATGCTTACTGTTTGTAGTCTTACAAATCTCAGAATATACAACTGCACTCGAGCCAATCGAAGGTCAGGTTATTGACGAAAAAGATTTGATGTTAAGAACAAATACAATTATGGATCCAACAAAAAATAATCCAACAAAACTTGTTCGACACAAACGAGGTCGATTTGGGTGTTGTGGCACAAATTCCAATAAATGCTGCTGTAAAGTCGGTAATATGGAATGTGTTTCCGGTGGTTTGGGTGCGTGGATGCCTCAAAACCCATGTTATCGTTTACGTGGTGACTTTGATTGTGGGGGATGTAGACTTGGCTGGAAGTGTTAAAGACTATTAGAATACAATAAGAGTGAAGACTAAGATGTCTTAAAATTCTTGTTAAACCTCATTTTCTTACCAAAATAAAGAACTACTTCAAGAGAAATGTCTTATATTTCTATTTCTGAAAGAAAGAGTCTTATAACCGCTATATATGTATGTATGTTTGTTTATCTTGAGGGTTAAAGTATGTTTAAAGAAAGTTGATTCAAAGCATACCATACGAGCAGTTTCGTCCTTGCTTAAGGGACTGGTCAGATATCTTAAAAATTGAGAGAAACTGCAACAACTACAATTGAGAATTCTGATGTAGAAAGTATATCGTACAACTATCAAGAAAATGTTCTAGATTTGATGAAAACGGGATGATTCTACGTTGTCGATTGGAATGGTTGCGAAAAAATAATGAATTGCACTTTGGTTCATTGTAATACATATTCAAGAGATGAATCAGCTGTATAATTCACAAACAGTTGAGCCTAATGCAGTTGAGCCTTCATAGATTATGAACATATAGAATAATTGTCTTTCTCGTGTGGATGTGGGTGCGAATTTATGATCTCTTACACTATTCCATCATACGCATACCCACCCACGCCCAGACCCTGGCCCACGCTATTCATATATTTGTTTTGTTTACATGTATACAAAATAAACGTGAGTGAATCGATACAAAAAAATCAATCGTAATCTCATGAATTAGCTGTATCATCTTTACTTTTTCATTATTTTAAAAACATTTTCTTCGTACAAGATCTAGATCGATTCACCCTCTACTGAAATATACCATTCATTTATCAAAACTTTTCAGAAGTCGATTTAACATTTTTATACACATACAACAATTTCTTTTAGTTTCAAGTACAATTTTACGATGAGTTGATTGGGTACTAAAGGAATTTACCGTCAAGTATTATGAATCATAGAAATCATTTAAAAATAAAATAATTATAACAAATCAATAACTATCTGACTTTCCATTTATTTACTAACTAAAAGAATAGAAAGAAAACGAAGATTTTATAGGTGAATAGCTATCTTCATAAATAGGCAGGATATTATCAGATTTTACTGATATATTCAATATTTAAAATTTTTCTGAAGCCATTTATAAACAATTAATCCTGTTAGAAGTCATAACGAAATAATGTCAAGGAAAAAAATTGGAAAGGACGAGGGTGGGTGACGGTGTGAGTGTGGGTGAGGGTGGGAATCTTGGTGTCAGCGTTTTTCTTGTTATTCTACCTGTACCCACACCCGCACTCTCAATACCATTTAATAATGACATCTGAAAGTTTTCAGCATTTCCCACGATCCATATTATTTTTTTCGATGAATTTTTATGTCGATATTTATTTTACGATCTTTTTTCGTTCGACAATTTTTTCGTCGACTTCTTTTCTTCGGCCTTTTCTTTTCGACATTTTTTCTTTCGGCCTTTTCACTGTAAATCTGTACAAGCAGGACTATTAACCATTTGACAATTTTATAATTGAGGTAATCAAGTAATTAAAATGCTAAACAAATAATTTTAATACTCATAACGATGATGAAACTGATACATCTAATTATCAAAATGCTCAATAACTATTAGTCTTAAATATGATGATGGTTTACATATTTGAAATTAACTTATTAATACAAATGATATATTTATTGAAAGTTTTCTATCTGATATAAAATATTAAGTCGAATCAATCCTCGATTAATTTATGCTTCTATATCAGGATTACCAGTTCAAGAATCTGTTCATGTTGATCTTTCAACTGGTTTATTTCTTGCCAATAGAATATTGATTACTTTATTAGAACGTCATTTTGAAACATTACTATTTGCTGCACAAAATTTTATGTTAGATTTACAAACAGCTAGATATCTTATTGATGAAACATTTACATACAACAGATCATATTGATCTTGGTGAGCAATCAATAACAATGGTTAATTCATTGAAGAGTACTTCAATATAGAGAAGAAATTAAAGAAATTTTTTAATGGTGTTTATCTTTTGCACTTCTGAGCTAAGGTAAATATCACTTAATCTAGAGTTCAGTTCAATTTTTTTTGTAAAATAAACTCATACTATGGCCTCATTATCTTCTTTCTATGTACGGCAATTAAAATGTGTACCTAATCAGTAAGTATCCATTTTAGTGGCACTTCTTGCACATGTTTTCTTTAATATAAACTCAGGATACAATTTGTAACATTGTCTAATTTTTATTAATGTGATTCAAATGAAAAAATATAAACATTAATGGTGATATACGTCATCTGTTTGAATTTGTGATAGATGGAGTCATAGGAATAGGAATATTTTTAAATGGTTACCAATCTTTACCATAGAACAAAGCGATGCTCACATTCTCTTTATTTTCTTGTGATCAATTAAGCTATTTTGTTATAATTCTATCAATAATAAATTAGTTTTTATTTTTAGATCCATCGAATAATGTCATTGATTGAAGGTATTGGTGATGATTTTCTCTTTGTTTTTGGTTTCTTAATTTTTATTGGTATTATTACTCTTGCTTGGTTTTCAACTCGTGTTAATCATATTCATTTTCCTGCAACATTATTTATTATTGAACGACGTACACGTAGACGAAATGGTAATATATATAAATTTCTATTCAAAATAATTCATTTGTTATTTTAAATTAAATTCTAGAAGAAGAAGAATCAGAAAGAACAAGTCCAACTCCTCCATCTTCAAGATTAACTCCAGCACATGAACAATCCGTGTCTCTCTCATCTGGTAATGAAACACAAACAGAACATGAATCTGATAATGAGTATGATTAATAAATAATATTGTATTTATTTATTCGGTTCTTTATTATTTAGATCCAGTGAAATTGATGAATTTAATTCTGATCAAATACCTATAGTACCTGAATTAAAACAACAATCTAGCAATACAAATCCTATAGAAACAAATAATCATCAACAAACAACATCCGATGAAAGAGAAAATCAATCATTAAAAATAATTATTAAATTTCTTAATGATACACGAAAAGAAATATCAGCTAATCCAAATGATACAATATCAACAATCAAACAGTAAGACAAGAAAATAATACTGAGAAATCTTGAAACTAATCAAATATTTTTAGATTACATTTTGCAAATGAATTAGCGACAAATAAAATGATTCGTTTTATATATCAAGGTCGTGAACTACAAGATCGAGAAACTCTTCGTACATATAATATTCGTGATGAAACAATAATACATTGTCAAATAAGTATACGACGTGATGATTCAACAAATCAAAGACCTGATGGTACATCATCTGGAACACATCGAAATACAAATAGATTCGATGCATCACCATTAATTGAATCACCACCTATTAATATTTCATCCTATTTTGTTATTTTATTAAGTTTAATTCTTGTATTGATCTGGTATTTACGTATTAATTATCGTGTTCTATTTACACCTATCTCAACTATTTTTCTTATTTTAATAACAATTATATTTGCTATATTTACATGTGGGTCGTTATTAACAACACGTCAACGAGTATCAAATACTAGTCAAACAACAATCGCTATAACACCAATACAACATGTTCATCTTGATTGAATATTTTCACTCTTTTTTGTTCGGCTTGTTATTGACATAATCTATATATATATATTTTTTTTTCTTCTTTTTTTGTATGTATGTATGTATGTTCTCACGAACAGTTTTTGATTTGTAATCATTTTCCTTTAGTTTTTTTTCGAATTCTTTTAAATATAAAACGATCTGTTAATATCAAATTTTTTCCAAATAAATTCAATTGTTAAATAGAAACAACAAAATGAAAGGCAATTATTACCCTCTACGAGTAATGTAAACTCGAAATTTATAATTTTTATATTTAGATGTCTTTCTATTCACATACAGATCCATGTGCTGAACTTCGTAATATTCTTCATCGTTCACTTGTCTCACTCGGGTGTCCTCATGTACCAAGTTTACCAACATCGACATTTTTAATGACAACAAATACAAATTTAAAAGTTGTTACATGGTTACTGAGTGAACTTGATTCTGATCTTGCACAACGTCTTCAAACAACACGTGCATCAAATTCAATTGCATTTATAAAAGAATTTTTATTTGAAACAGCTATATTTCCACGTTCATTTATATTACGTCTTGATGATATATTTAATTCATCATCACTTGTTGATCTTCATCAGTTATCAACGATTCTATCACATTATATACATAAACCAATTATTGGTCACAATGTTCAATTAGGTCTTATAGAATATCTTAGTGAATTAGTTGTATGTTTACGTAATCCAACAATGACTATTCATCATGATATGTGGAGTAATCGTGATGTATTAAATATGTTTGAACAATTACCTATGGATGAAATAAATCTTTCTATTGATCCTCGTATACTTGAATATACTGATAGTGAACATCAACAATCAGGTGATGATGAACAAACAAGTGCAGATTTAAAAGATGTTTTTGGACAAGTTCGAACTGAATTATTATCCCAAACAACAAATGATATGAATGAAACAGAATTTGAAACAATATTTACTAATGAACAAATTATTGATATTGATAAACAACTTCAAAATGCTTTACTAGATACACATCAATTTTTTAAACGTCTCGAAACTGGTTCGTATAGATAAACTTTTCTTATTTATATAATAATTATTCTCAGATAACATCAAAAAATGATAAACAAATCATTTTTTTGTAATATGAGGAATCCATTAGAAATGATATTTATTCCCTCTACTCTTTCTATAATTATAATTTTGTTTATAAACATTCTATACTATAGGGATATACAATGTTTAAATATAATATTAAAGAAAAAAGGTGACAGTAGATATAATAGATAACGATTGATTGATTTTATAATATTATTATACATCTGTCGGATTTATATCTTCTTAGGTACACCAAATTTATCAACATCTATTGATCAACAATCGACATTTTTATTATCGAATGAAACTTTACAAAAATTAACTTCAATTAGTCATTTAAATCAAATTTATGAACAAGTTCGTTCGAATGATAAAGTTTTCATAGATAAAATTCAATATTTATTAAATGATATTGATCAAGAAAATGAAACTAATTCTAAACAATCAAATTCTTCTCTTACACTTCAAGCTCAAATGATGTTAGCACGTAATCTTGCACATACATTAAACAATAATGATCAGATAATAAAGAAATAACATTATTATTTTTTTTTAAAAAATAGACAAACAAATTTATATAATGTAATAATTTTCGTCAGATATAATTTTTTTTCTTCTTCTTTAATAAGAACAACAATAGGATACATTTGGTTTCTTTTGTGTATGATTTTCTAACATTTGTTGTGTTATTTGATCAGTAGATGATGGTTTCAATGTAGATTGTTTTGGTGTGTTTAAACTATGATTTTGTTCTAAACGATCCATAACTGAATCAAGTAATAATTCAATTGATTCTCCAACATTTATATTTTGTAATGCACTTGTTTCAATATAATCAACATGATTTTGTGCAGCAAATTCAAGTGCACGAGCTTTACTGATTATACGTTGACTTTCTAAATCACATTTATTACCAACAAGTATCATATCAACATTTTCAGAATAAGCATTTGCTTGGATTTCCGTTATCCAATTACGTACACTAATAAATGAAGTTTCATTTGATAAATCAAATACAAGTAAAAATCCAATAGCATCACGAAAAAATGATGCAGTAAGACTACGAAAACGTTCTTGACCAGCTGTATCCCTAAAATTTGAAAACAAAAATTATTTTCTATACTTTATGCAAAACTATGACGGATTAAATTTCTTTGCGTCATACTTATAGAATTTAAATCTGAACTACAATTCTAATTCTTTTAATGAGACAGCTTCTATATCTAATTAAGATTCAAATATGTTTTTTTGCAAATGAATTACCATAATTGTAAATGTATATTATATGATTTATTTGTTTTATTCGATTTATACAATAAAGTTTTATCTCGAATATCTATACCAACAGTTGGCGCTAATTTTTCATTATAATTTCCTTCAACATATCGATTGAGTAAGCATGTCTATTAATAAATATATAACAAAAAAACGAAACCTTTTTAAAAAATTCCAAATCAATTACTTTTCCAACGCCCGAATCGCCAATAGCTAAAAATTTTAAATCCAAATCATTATCCATTGCACGTGACACTTGTTTTTATATGTCGTTAGTTTTCACCAATAACATTTATGATTTCAATGTTTTATATATATATATATGTATATATAATATACATACGATGCACATGTACAAAGAAGAAAAAAAAATCAGAAAGGTAACGTTAACACATGACACAAAAAAATTATATATATTTCTTTTTTTCCTTCTCTTCTTCTTGTTGTTCTTATAATAAAAATTTCTCTTATACATGATTGACGATTATAGTGAAAGTAATGGAGGAGAATATTTGTCCGAAAATGAATTATTAAATAATGATAGTTATGTTATACAAACTCAAGCTAAAAATTCAGCATACATTATCGATCAATAAAGAGAAAAGAAGTAGTAGTACCACTTGCAATCAAGTAATATATTATTGGAAAGGAAGAAAAAAAAAGAATATCATATTCAGGTTAGAGTTTTTGTTACTATAGCTGGACATTTTGATTTGATTCATAAAAGAATAAATTTTTACTGAAACAAGATCGAAAGCCATCGTGAGAAGATAGAGAAAATGAAAAGTAACAAATGTTGTATTTATTCTCTTATATTGAATAATGAATCCTTACTATATCTGAAGCATCTCATTCTAGCGAAATCAACTGAAAAGTTAGAAGAATCCTTATTTATGAAGTATTCTAGCGTATAAGATTATACTTAAAAAATTCAATTCAATTATCTGTTGTACAATGTCATTCTGATGGATTTTGTGTAAATAACAATATTGATGCATTAAGAAAGATATATGATATTTTATGCTTAAAGCAAACATTAGAAAATAAGTCTTTTCATCAATGTGTAAGTGTTCAATCGCGTGATATAATTCAGATTTGAAATCTCTAAATCCAAGTGAACAAGCTCACAAAAAAGAAAATTAATGAAAAAAATCTGTCAACTTTTTCCTGATTTTTATATTTCCAATTAAATTTTTATAAAACTAATTCTTCACATGTCAGTTAAGAATTATTTATTATCAAAGACAAATATTCTTGTTCTTTTGATTTTTTTTTCTATAACCATGAATATGTATAATTGAGTTTATTTAACTTTTGATTAATCATGTTAAGCAAAAATATTATAATGATCAATTCTAAGCGAAAATTCAATATATAGAAAGAAGAAAAAATATATATATAGATCAACATACTCATTCACATATATCCGGAATATGTCACGAAAAAAAACTATGACTCTTCTCGTATATTAAATAATGATTTTACCAAGTCATAGCACACACACATATGTGATATATATATTTTGAAAAATCATCATCTAGATTACGATTTTCTTGTTCGGATGCTAATGTTCCCTAACATGTAGGACAATATAAATGCACGATTGTCAATCATTATCATTTATTGAAATGAGCAATACAAATTTTTGTTATGATACAGCTGTTCTTGAAATAACATCATCAACAAGTAAGTCTCAGTATTATTAATTTTTGTGCTCGATAGATAAAGTGCTTTTCCAATCATAGTAAAATAAACAAATAACAACATATATGTATAGACATATCATATATCTGACAAACAGCACACATACGGTAATAGAGGAAAAGTGATGGATGTTTTTTTTCCTATACATGTCATCGTTTGTTTTAATTGAGTAAAAAATAAAAAGCAAAAAGCACTCATCTTATATTCATTCGAGAACCTTGACATATATATATATTTATATATATAAGTTTCTAGAAAATTATGCATGAATAATAAATTCAATATTTAATAATTGATTAGTCTATTATTAGTAAAAAAAGTTTAATAAGTAAATATTAACTTTCATATCTATTTTATAGGAATGAATTAATATATTTCTTTTTGTTCTCTCCCAAAGTACTATATTTAAATTATGAAAATTTCTTATTCATTAATTCGTGATTACTAGTCACTTATATGTGTGTATGTATACAGATATGTATGTAAACTACTTGTGTGCACATTTATTGTGCTATTTCAAGAAATAATGATGAGCACTTCAAATGAAATATGAGAAAATTGTCACCCTTGACTCTATGATGAGATGTCAAGAAAGAAATAAAATGAGTGCTTGGGTATTTTCTACTATCACACATATAAACATGCAATAGCCATGCACATTCAATCAACGTATGCACTATCACTATCATAGCTGACTCTAACACGCACATTCCAATGACGAATTAGAGATACTTTATCTAGCAGTTGCTGTTTCTTTTTACATAAAGACTTCTCCGTTTCTTAAGAAAGGGCGAGAGATCGAGAACAAGAGACGTAGGGAAAACGAAGAGAAAACGCTTGTCGTCGTTTTCTCATAAACAACTATCCATCTCTTTCTCTCTCTCTCCCTCTCTCTCTCTCTCTCTCTCTCTCTCCTACAGTTCTGATTCCCTCCTTCTTTCCAACAACCTCCTTCACTCTTTATGTCAATTGTGTCTTTTTTTTCTCAATATTTTTGATTAGTAGTCGGGCATTACTACTAACATCGCATTGCCGTATTGAAATGGCCCTACAGCTAACTCTTATTCTCTCATCTTCGTTTATCATTATGTTATCTTTGTCATCAACATCGAATGAACAACATCTTATTGTAAAGAAAAAGATCTAAATACAAAGATTGTATATAGATATAGAAGAAAAGAAAGCGAATTATTTTCTTTACAATGCATCGAACTGATTCCTCTTTTCGACGTCATCCAGGTGGTGGTAGTTTACGTCGATTTAGTTTTCGTCGTAAACCTACTCGAGAATCAATACAAGAACCATCATCAACATGGTCATTCAATAATGAATCCAATGAATGGCAATTACTTCGAGGTAATCTTCTATCTATTTCTTTTTCTATTATAATCAATAATGAAAAAAAACCTATGCATTGATGCGTACATTATTATTATCGTCGCATATTCTTTTAATTCATCATATATACTCATACACACGCACACACATCTTCTTTCACTTCTTTTATTCATGTTAGTCATTGTGCGGACACTAGTCTTTCATTCAAGCATGTTTCCGGGATATTATAGTTCCGAGTGAGATGAGATACAAAACACACAACAAATATAGACAGATACCATCATTCGTGTCACGCACTAACTAACAACTACTAGATTATTTAAAGCGTAGGACGAATGAATAAAAAATATATTTATAGTTTTTTCTTTTTCTTCTTCTTCTACTTCTTCTCCTTATTATTCTCAAAACAAAGTGATGAAAATCGATCCAGGTTGTTTTATTTATACTAAAGCTGAAATCTGAGATATTTAATATTAAAAAAGAAACAAGAGAGAAAAAAGGTATGTAGTCTCTCTTGTTAATCTTCATCTAGTCTGGAAAAACACATACAAACACACTCACACACACCTATATATATATATATAGTAATGTAAGCAATAAAAACAGATTCTTTTCCCATTCATGTATTCAATGATGAATATGGAAGATGATAGCTCAAACTCAACAACTCCTCAAAGTCCTTTTATTGATGATGATACTGAATTATCCTTATTACAAAGTAAGTTTTCTTTAGCAATCATTAGTTTATTATTTAACTGATCGCGACATAGAGAAAAATACTATCCTAATTACCATCATTACTGTTTTTTTCAAAATTAATCTTATTGTTAATATTCCTTAGAAATTCTTTCTATTTTATATTTATTTATCTTTTTTTTATTCTTCATTGCTTTTGTCAATATTTCGTTGGTTAGAAGAAGAAGAAAAAAAAAAAAGAAAGAAATGATAATTTGATGTGAAAGGCAACGACTGCATCGAAGATATAAGTAAAAGAAAGTGACTCTTTACGATTACTATTTTCTAACTGTCTTTTGGGAGAAATGACTCTTCATCATCGTTGTATATACGGATTCATCTAGAAAAACGCTTGCCGAAGAAGCAACTAAAGAGGGAACTATAATGTAATTCAAGGAAAATAGTATATGTCTATATCTCGGATTTGCAGTTCTCTCGCTGGGAATTTAATTAAGTAACTTGTTTATAGTAATGATAGGAATCGTTGTCGTTATATCGCCTAAAGCAATAAAAAGATTCAAAAATGCAAAGAGTATAAATTGTGTTGTTATTTATCTTAATAATAATTTAAAATAAAAAAAGTTACAAGTTGTTTTTTTGTACAAAATTAATTAAAAATGTTAATTTTTTTTTCTATACTTTTTACAGAAGATGGTGCTCATATTCAACTTGTCTACAATAAATCTGAAGTATGCATATATATATATATATCATAAAAACAAGAAAAAATTAATCTTGAATTCTGTTTTGTCTTTAGCATATTCCTTTGAAAGATTTTGCAGCTGAAATTCGAGGTGGAAAAGATATAAAAGAATTTATACTTAGTGCTCTTGTTCTTCTTGATGTACAAGATACATCAATATGGGATTTAATGGAAATAATTCTTCGAAGAATAAAACAGACAAGTATACCTAATACTACAACAGCAGCATCACCCACATCAACTATACCAACTGCGACTACTACAATGATTAGTAATACAGTTAGTGGTAATAGTAGTGGACATCGAGAAAATTTAAATATAGAAGAAATCAAACAAGCATTATTTGTTAATGATCGAGGTATTATTTTTAAAGAAAAAGTTCTTATTTATTCTATATTTTATTTGTAAAGTCCGAATCTTAGCAAAAACACTTCAAGCAACAACAGCGACGGAAACCAATTGGACTTATGATCAATCATGGCTTGCAATTATGTGTACTTCACCATCAATTCTAAAACGTCATGTTGCTATAGCTCGCCTAAAAAATCCTTGTAATTTCGGACGTAATTGTCAAGAAGCACGTTTTATTGTATTTATATTATCACCAATGAAAGAAAAAGGAACAAAAAATTTTCTTGAAACTGGTCGAACATTTGCTACAATATTTGCTGATATTGAATTACGTGCTAAATTATTAAAAGCAACAACACAACAAGAATTTATTTCAATTATTGATGTAAACTTATTCTTCTCGTTTTTTTACATAAGTATAAATCTTCTTCTTTTTATCTATAGAAACATACAGATAATTTAATGGAACAGCAAACATCAGTAGCACGAAATTCGTTACCAGATCCATTTGATGATATTAATAATAATTCTGATGTAAGTAGAGAGATTGAATTTTTTTTCTCTAAAGAAAAAATCTAATATTTATTTATAGTTATTAAAAGTTAAAACATACTATTGTCCAATACTTTCTGATATTTGTATGGATTTATCACGACGGTTACCTCATTATTTTTCAGATTATTATGACAGTAAATTCGAATTTCGATTTAATATGTATATGTTCTTTTTTTTCCTATAATTTAGTTTTTAAAACTCATCATGGTTCACAAAAAGTTGTATCAACTGCTGTATTTCTTTATTTTGCATGTCTTTTACCAAGCATAGCATTCGGTGTATTGAACTCTCAAGTTACAAATGATCAAATAAGTGTACCAAAAGCTGTTGCATCTCAATGTCTTGGTGGATTATTTTTTTCAATATTTGCTGGACAGCCTTTAATTGTTGTTATGACAACAGCACCATTGACACTCTATGTTAAAGGTAAATTTTAAATAGCAAATATCTGAAATGAATCGATTTTATTTAGTTATTTGCATCCTGTGTACTTGGTACCGTTTGGATTTTCGAGAGACATACGCATTAGTTGGTTTATGGAATTCATTTTTTCTTATTATATTTTCATTTTTTGGTGTTTCAAAAGTAATGAAATGGTCAACAAGGTAAATTTACAATAGAAATTTGAGAGGAAAAAACGAAGTCTTCTTTATATAGATCAACGGAAGAGATTTTTGCTTTATTTGTATCTGTGGCATTTTTGGTTGATGCTAGTGCACATGTTTTTCAAAGTAAAAGAAATGTTTTTTTTGTATTTAAAACAAAAAATCGATTTCTTCTTAGATTTTGTTGGTAATTATTCAACTCCTGCTTGTAAACATTATGATGATTATTGGAAATTACGTCGAATGAATGAAAGTATATCTGTTAATACAACAGGAGATTTTTTAGATGAACCATGCTCACGTGATTCAAGTTTACTTTATATTTTATTAACACTTGGAACAGTATGGTTAGGAACGTTTCTATATAAATTTAAACAAACACCATATTTAACATCAGCGAAACGAGAATTATTAGCAGATTATGCATTACCGGTATCTGTTATAGTAATGTCATTGATTGGTAGTCTTCTTTTTAGTCAAATAAATCGTATGTTAAAAAAATATCTTTTTTTTGTAATATAAATTATAATGTATATAATTTAGTACAATCATTTCCTGTTAATCATGAACCTCTTTTTGTATTAGTTCGATTTAAATCTGTTACTTTTAAACAAATAATTGCAACAGGTGGTCTTGGTTTTTCATTATCTTTATTAATGTTCCTTGTATGTATTAATAAATGAAAAAAGGAACTTACATATTCTTTTAATAATTATTTTTCTAGGATCAAAATATAGCCGGTGCTATTGTTAATTCTCCGGCGAATAAGTATGAAAACATCTAGAAGATTTAAATAAATCATGTTTCTTTTTACATAGATTAAAAAAAGGCAAAGCATTTCATGTCGATCTCTTTGTCATTGCTATACTTAATGGTTGGCTTTCGTTGTTTGGATTGACATGGATGCATGGTTTGTTCGAATAATATCATTATAATTAATCATATTTCCGTTTATTTCATAGGCGCATTACCACTATCACCCTTACATGTGAAAGCACTTGCTGATACAGAAGAACGTGTGGAACAAGGGCATATACAGTCCGTGTAAGTAAATTCTAATTTCGAAAGAGAACAAAAAAATTAATTTTATTCATTTAGTATTGTTAAAGTTCGAGAAACTCGTATAACAGTATTATTATCACATATTCTTATTGGTTTGTCATTATTTATGCGTGATATTCTTAAACAAATTCCAATGCCAGTATTGGATGGTTTATTTCTTTATTTGGCATTGACATCCCTTGATGGAAATCAATTGTTCGAACGCGTTACATTATTTTTTACTGAACAAGTAAAGTTTGATTTAATTCTTCTTTTATTTATTTATTTCTTAAATTAAGGCTGCTTATCCACCTAATCATTATATACGACAAGTTCCACAACGTAAAATACATCTTTTTACTTTCTTACAACTTATTCAACTATTTATCTTATGTTTTCTGGGTTTTTCACCAATACTTTATACAAAATTAGTATTACCAATATGGCTTGTAGTTATGGTTGCTTTTCGTTATAGAATATTACCAAAAATAATTGCTACAAAATATTTACGAGCATTAGATCAACGATTATAAGTTTGCTTCTTCTTCTTCTTTTTTTTTCATTTACGAACAAAATATTTTTGTATAAAAAAAAACACAAAAATAAATGATTATTATTATTATTAAGAATAAAAATGAATTTAGTAGGATGTCTGAAACCTGGCATAATTTTATATCATATTCAAAATATCTCTATGAGTTTAGAAAACATATATATGAATAGAAAAATCATTCATGTATAAAACTTCTTCTCATTTATTATGACTAATCATAGATAATAATCGAAATACTAGATCTTTCAGTGATATATCTATATATAGATATATTAATTTTCTTTATTGATAATAACATTAATTTCTATTGAATTTATCTTTTTTCATAAGCTGAATAGTTATAAGTGACATATCCTTTCTTCTTTTTTCTAATATGCATTTTTGATGGATGAGAAAAATATCTCTACAAAATGACACATATAAATTATATTATAACAGAGAAATCTTATTAGATTTCTTCACGATTTGTTGCCAACATTATATTTTCAATCATTCTCTTCTTTTTTCTCTATATAACAAAATATGTATTAAATCCGACAGAAACGTTTCTAATTAGATATAATGATAATCTTATTTTCAAATAAAAGTCTCCATTTAAATAGTTGATTTTGTTGTAATATAAATATTGATATATGAAGATTTATTGTATAAACAAATGTCTAAAGTTGAAGTTTAAATTATATGTAATTAGTATAATAAATCAATACAAGATGTTGTTGTTGATAAACAAATGAAATTCAGATAAGACCAAATGTAGAAAAGTTATGATAATAAAAGAGCAAAAAGGTTAATAAGGATATGTTAAAATGTTAATCAACAATTTATAAGTTGATCAGTAGTTTTCTTTTATAAATAAATTGATCAATATTAGTTTTAATAACATATTTTTATCAATGTAAATGATCTTTTATAGATTCTAAATACTATTAGAAATGTCATTACGGTTTTTTTCTCTACTGAAAAAATGAGATCGAAAGATATAATATAATCAAAAGTAATTAAATCAAGAACGAACTTTTCTCGGATGTAAATTTAATTATCAAGATGATTTTTTCCCTAAGCGGATCTTAACCATGTGTGTTCTCGATAACTAATAAAGTACATCTCTATTATTATTCCGGGAAACCAATTTTTTTAAAATTTAGTTTAATATTAGCCTTATTGTTAATCATTATAATATGAGGATCGATGAAATTTATTATTTTTAATGAATTATTTTCTTTCAATCTAAACAAGCATTTGATATTCTTTTGACCGTTGTGTGATTTCGATCATTTGCCTCCCATGAGCTACGAATAACAGCATCGGATATGTCAGATTTGATTATTGTACTAGAAACTAAGAATAAATTTATCGTTATCAAATTGTTTGCAAATAAAAAAATGTGTAGTTAATGATTATCGAATATATATATATTCATTAACCCTCCGGAGATGTTCTCGCTTAGTCACACAAACGATGTATGTGGATCCAAGTGGACCCACACGTAAATACATAAGGAAAACATGAAAATTCATCTGTATTGTACTATATAAGATAGATCGAAGTCTATATCATGATCTCTTTTCAGTCACTGATGCATTGATACGCTTGTAGTATACTTAAGATGCTGATTTTCAAGAAAAAAGAAGGATTACAATTATCGTGAGTAAAAGTTAAGAGAATGGTGAAAATATTTCGATAGATAAATAAGGATAGAGAAACACATTATTCTTTACTGGCAGTAACAAACTAATCAATCTTCAATAGATAGATTTTCGAAACAATAGAGGACATACGTAATACGAATCAAAATCATCTATATAACACGAATGTTGTCAGGAGGTCTAAACGGATCTACACTCTAGTTTTTGACTGCTGATAGTTTTACAAGACATTTCATATGGTTCTTATGTATCATTAGTAGACTAACGATTAGCGAAAATATCGCTTCGAATTGTATAGATCTTAAAGTAGAAAAAAACACTACTGTGGGCCTCTTGGGCCCCCAAACACCGCCGGAGGGTTAAACAGTATTGAAAGATTTTGACATAGTACAGAAGCAGATGGTTTGAAAATTTACTTTTTTTTGTTATATGATTAATCATCTAACGACTGGTGCAAATGTCCAGGTTACTCAAGCTGCTAGGAAGCTGATGTCTTTCCCATAGGATAGAGCAAAGTCTAAAGATTAAAACTGCATATTTCAAAAAAACAATTTGTGAGTTGATTAACGATCCAAATCTTCGGTTAAAAAAGGCGCTATATGACTTTTCAATTAAAAAACTTTTTGACGATAAAGTTGAATTCGATGTTCGTGCAAAGCTAGATTTTCTGGATGACTTAAGCTTGGCTTTTTTTGAAAATGAGAGTCTTGCAGGAAAAGACAAGCTCCAGAAATATCTACAATTAAGCAAAACAAGATGGCATCAGCGCTACCATGGTGATAGAAGGTTTCGAATTCGTGGTTTTCCAACAGTTGCGGTCGCGATGACTCAAGCCTGAAAATTTGACCTCAATTAATTAACATATGTGGAAGATATGTCAATTACAAAAGTTACAATGTATTTTTGAGAACCAAAAATTTCGACCGTTAGCCAACTCACAGTTTATTTTTAAAATATGCATTTTTAATCTTCAGATTTTGCACTACTTGACGGAAAAGGAATGAGCTTGACATTTTTATCAAGACTTTTGCACTAATCAACATTATATCAAAGATTCTTTCGTATTCAAATCTTATAGTATATATATATATTACTGATTGTCTTTATGGAAGAAATTTCCATCTGTGCATTATATAACTATTCTATTTTTAGAGTATTATCTTTATCGAATACAATTTTGATAAGATATAAAATTCAACATGAATTAATAAATTTATTTTTTTAATAAAATAAAAAGTATGATCTTAAAGATACAAACAAATATTCATTAAACTGATAACAATTTATTCGGAAAAATAATAATTAATGATTTCACATATATTTCGTTTTTATTTTCTTTGTATCTAGTAACAGTTGGATTTCTACTCTCATTCAAACGATATATGTATGATTGGTTATATACAAAATAAAGAATTATTTTACAATAATTGCTGGTGGTAATTGTCGATCAGGTAATACTTGTCGATGAAGATACTCATATTGATTACGCGTTTCAATTATCTTTAAAAAAAAGAATTATTTAAAATACAGAGAGAAAATATAATTTACTTGTTGTTGAAATGATTTTTTACGTTGTTCTAAATCATGTTTAAGACGTTTTAAATCATCAACTTCTTCAAGTAATGATTCAACATTAATCGCTTTTCGTTTTCGACAATTTTGTGCTGCAATCTAATATATAAATATTTCTTTACAAAACCAATTTTAAATTACTTTTTTCAATTACTTTATTTTTTCCACGACGACGTATATCTTTTATAAGATGTATTTGTTCTTGACTTAAATGGCTTAATCGTGCTAAATGGCGATTATATTCTTCAGTACTAGATTGAGTTATATCATATAATGCAAGTGGAATATTATATCGTCGTAAAGTGTCTTCATCTTGTTGTCCTTGATAATTTGCGCGTGTACTCGATCGACGAGCAAACATATGTGTCATTAAATGTTCATCATGTTCAATCTAAAACAAAAACCAAAAGGTCGAAATTATTTTTTTCATTTTCATTAAATACTTTTTCTAATTTTGTTTCAATACAAGACCCATCAAATGTTAATTCACTATCAGTCTAAAAAGAAAAGAAGGTATAGAAAAAAAAAGGATTTATATTTGAAATCTAATACTTCATAGGGTGAAAATGATCTTTGTAATCGACTATTATTACTATTGCTACTTAATGAATATTCGTCATCTAAAGAAACACTTAATAAGTTCATTATTGAATTTTGTTTAGTTGTATTAGATAGTGGTATAAGTATCGGTGATGTTGTTTGTGGAGGATTTTTATTATGATCATCATCAATATATTGACCAGAAAGAAGTTGATCATTAAACATGATATTGTTCGTTGATTCGTCAAGAGAAATATAATTTGAAAACCAATTTGGCTCTGTTTGATCGTCACCTAATTCGATACCTTCGAAAAGTAAACCACTAGTTGGTGTTATTGTTGTCGTTGTTGTTAATCGATTGATAGTTGTTGATGATGGTGGTTCGATATTAGATAGATATGTTTCGATCCACTTCTAGAAAAGTAAATAATGACGTTTTTTGTGAAGGTTATATTAGGAAAAAAACAAAAGAACTTACTTCGTTTGTTATTGAAAAAGACGGACTTGATAAAACAGACACCTCGCGAAAGATTTTCTCACCTGAAAATATCAAAAGAAAAAGAACAGCTAAATAAATATTGACACATATGACGTTGATAACGATCTGTTGACAATTTAAAATAAAAAAATATTTTCTTTTTTTTTCTCGAAATTTATCGACTTATCTACTTCTTTAAACTGTTTCGCAAGCGACCGAAATAACCGACCTATATTTCATGACTAATTTTATATTTGAAAAAAAACTAGGTTATTCGAATGAAATGACACTTATGAATCTCTATGTCAATAAAATTAGATAATATTAAAAGTAAATAAACAAAACATTGTTTTTCTTTTGTTTCAACTCGAAAAATATAAGATTTATATTTACCAGTTTCCGGATCAATCTCATAAGTCGAATTATCGTCATCGTCAGGTATTATCGCATCACTTTCATCCGTTAATAATTTTTTTTCATGGCTGTGAAATTTTAAATCATCTTGTTTGTCTTTTCCATAATATCCATGTATGTTATCATCAAAATCAATATCATTACTGTCATCAATAAAGTTCAATGGACGTACACCCAATTCATCATAATCAATATATGATATATCTTGAATATCCATTAAGTCCATATCCAGCTTATGTCAAAGTACGATTTGTTAAGAAAAAAGAATATATAGACGAGTGACGACTAAGCGTTACCTATTTCTACAAAAAAAACCAAAGGGATTTTATTTTGAGAGCGAAAAAAAACAAAGTACTTTTTTTCTTTTCGTTCTGTTAATGCGAATAAAAGAGGAAAAAGAGAAAAACAAAAACGTAAATTGTATATACTTTATTGGCCTTTGAACTTATCCATATCGACAGTGAAGTACGATTTAATGACCCTATAATTCGCATGATATATCTAATCAGATTATCTCATGATATGTTTGAATTAAAAAAACAGGGGAAAGGTAGATGGGTCTTATACAATGAATACTAGTAGATTTAATTCTTCTTTTATTTTGATTCTAAAAAAAAGGATTCGAATAATATAGAATGATATCTTGAAAGTAATCTTCAGTCTATATTTATTGAAAACCTTTTTTTTCTTCCTATCTCATTATTGATATTTTGTAATCTATCTGAACTTAACAAAAACAAAACAAACAACAATAACAAGATCAATTAATTTTAACTTCTTCATGTCGAGTAGTCGGTACATGAAACCAATAGTTCTGTCTTCCAGCTCGTTGTCCAAGCATAACGTGTCGTTTAGGTAATTCTTCTGGTGATAGAACACGAACAAATTTATCTCGATCAAGATCATCTACGACTAATTCTTTCGGCCTTAAAAAAAATAAACATATATATCAAAGAAAAATCAATAAAAAATGTTTTTTTTTCAAACCATTTAAACATCTGTGGAAACTTTTCTATATCATCCGGTGTTAAATCATCAAGACGTTGTGGTGTAGTACGTGAACCACGTATTTGATCGCTTACATTTCGTATTAAATGAGAAGGTACAGCCTAAAGAAATCAATTTCTTCTCTTCTTTTATTCTTAAAATCAATTTTCTTACATCATCAGGAAATGTATATAATCGAGCTAAATCATATCGTCGACCACTATCACGAGGCATACAATTCATAGTACATAAATGAAGAACCTAAATATTAAAATAAGATAGAATACAGATTGAAATAAATAACTATTAATTTACTTTAGTTGGATCAAGTTCATGTAATTTAAATAAAGGTATATCATATCTTGTTTTAGCATATTCACGTCTAATATGTAATGCTTCAGCACGCCATGCATCATTACGTAAAGCTATATGTCGAGTATTTATTGCAACAACGCAATCACCTGTTGATTCTATTTAAAACATAGAGATTAACAAAAAAAACTTATTATATATTTGCTTTTAATAAACATTTTTAAATCTTTCTTTTTTTTATATTGAGGATAAAGTTTAAAGTCGTAAAATATATTTAAAACAAAAATTTTTTTTATGAGAATATTGTCAACTATAGACAAACTTAATAATAAAATATAAGGCTATTCTATGTTTATCAATGTTATCTTTATTTTCTTTGGTAACTCATGTTGTCGACTTTGCTCTATAAATACATTTTTTTCTTTCGATCATTCGTGCACCATATGGGTACATGTTAAAGTAGATCTCTTATATTATTTCAAGCTTAATTTACCTCCAGGATAATAAATTGGTTTATGTTCACCACGTAAAATCCGTGCAATTCTTTCACCAGATGCATGTGGACATTGCCACTTAGCATCAAATAAATACCAAACACGAGAAAAAGTTGCTAATTGCTAAAATAAATCTCATTATTCATAGACTTTTTTGTTGTTTCAAAAAAGTTTTATACATACTTTTGCTTTATTAAATGACATAGTTTAGTTTTAGAAATATTTCATTTGAACAAAAAGAAAGAAAAGTCAAATTTAAGACTCAATTTATCTAAATAGAAACATATTTTCTAGTATATTAGATTAGATTAGGAAATTATTAGATTTCTGTCTTCTTCATTCAGAGAATTAACCACTATGTTTTGATTCGTTTTGTATGTTTGACCAATCAATAAAATAGATCGGAAAAGAACGTCAAAATGAGGGAGTATCTATGAAGGAGAAACAAAATATGGTAATGATAATCATTTGGCTTATAGAAAATCGAACTTGTTGATAAAATGGATAAATATATTAAACTAAATCGTATTGGCAAAGGAGCCTATGGGTAAATATTTTAAAAACAGAAGAATTTGTTAAATTAGTAATAGTTGATGTCATATCTTTCAACAGAAGACAGAACGAAACTGATTAAATAAAATGAAAATTTGATTAACATATCAGCGAAATCTTATCTTGATGTATAGCTAAAACTATGATTCAGTATTAAGCAACTCAATATAGAATAGCATAACTAATAAAATTATGATTTCTCGATATTTGATCATATACTTCTTTTTATTTTTCATTTTAGTACGGTCTATAAATGTCAACATGTTCAAGTAATAATTTTCCTATTATTATCTTTTGAAATATTCATTAATTTATCTAGAGTAATGAAATTGTTGCTCTTAAACGTGTTCATCTACATATGAAATCACCATCTGAAGAAGGTGTTCCAAATAATATCATTCGGTATGAAACTATTTTTGAATTGTTATTCATTTTATTCTCTATATTTTTCTTTTTAGCGAAATTAAAGCATTACAAGAAATTGAAGATCATGAAAATGTTTGTAAAAATGAAATTTCTTTCTTTTATTCTTATTCACGAGGTAATTTAGATTGTTAAATTACTTGATGTATTTCCACATGGTATGGGTTATATATTTGTTTTTGAATATATGTTAAGTGATTTAACGGAAGTTATTCGAAATGTTAGTCAACCATTAACAAATTCTCAAATAAAAAGTTATATGAGAATGTTATTAAATGGTGTTTCATTTTGTCATGAAAACCGAATTATGCATCGAGTAAAACTATTTTAAAGAAGAAAGAATAGATAAAAATATAAATATTCATTTTGATTTGATAGGATTTAAAACCAGCAAATTTACTTATAAGTACAACAGGTTATTTGAAAATAGCTGATTTTGGTCTTGCTAGAATATTTGATAAAGCACAACCACAACGACAATACAGTCATCAAGTAGCAACTAGGTCAGTATTAACTTTTGTTTCTCAGAATGATCTTCATCTTTGATTTAGATGGTACCGTGCACCGGAACTTCTTTATGGATCACGTAGTTATGATGAAGGTGTTGATCTATGGTATATAAACAATATCGTATTATTTTTTTTTAATATTTTGATTAATTATTAAGGGCTATTGGATGTATATTTGGTGAATTAATTAATCGAAGTCCATTATTTCCAGTAAATAAAATAGAAATTGTTTATTGTGTATTTTATTTTTATTTTTAGGGTGAAAGTGATATTCATCAGTTATGTTGTGTATGCAAACTTCTTGGTACGCCAACTGAAACCCAATGGCCGGTAAAACAATCTCTATATAATATAATTCATTTTCGAAATTTTTTTTCTAAAGGAAATGAAAAAATTGCCGGATTATGGAAAGATTAGTTTTGATGATTTTGAAGGAATGAAATTTGAAGAAATTGTACCAGAAGCATGTTCAGAAGCAATTGATTTATTAAAACAATTTCTTGTTTATCCATCTAAACAACGTATTAGTGCACAACAGGTATTTATTTTAATAATTCATATGATTTTTTTTAATTTATTTTGTTAAGGCATTATTACATTTTTATTTCTATACATCACCATTACCATGTCATCATACAGATTTACCAATACCAGCTAAAAGAAAACAGCGACATGTCTATGAATTTGATGTTAAACGAAATATAATCGATAGTATTATTGAACATGAAATGATTTTATCAACAAATATGAATTAAATTTACTTAATATTCTTGTCAGATGGATATGTAAAGAATAATTGTTAAATAAATCTATCACGAATAAAAACCTTTTGAAGTATATTGTAAGATTAATTATGTAACTGAAATTTAGAAGAGAAAAATATATTATTATCTTCATTTACACTTGTTGTCTGATACTATTCTTAGATTTTTGTTAAATAGAGATAAGAAGAAATGCTAAAGAGTACAGACATGATCATTCTGTGAACTCCAACATGTATATAAAGTTTCAAGTATGGCATCTATCTGTGTATTAATAGAAAAAACACGTAGGTTGATAAAAGTCTATGAAAATATTGATTTAATTGTGACTGATAAAATTAAAAACACTATAAAATATATAGATATAAATGACTTAAATCTATATGTTAAAGAAGGTTTTCTGTTACTAAAAGTAGTTATTTTAAATTTTACATTTGTATTCCGCAGAGATTATACTAACAGCTTTTTCATATAATTATATACATCAATTAATTTTATTCTATGTATTTTTTTCCATTTGATGGTCTAGCAAAAGTTATGCGTAGAAATTATTTGAAATCTAATGATCAACTTTTATACAAAAACAAAAAAATAGTTTCTTCAGTAAGTCATTTAGTTAAATGCTTTTTTACCTATTCAATTCATGAAACGCCATATCTCATAAACTTGATAATAATTGAGTAAATTATTTGAGAAGTATTATATCAAGATAAAGATATAATTTGACATGAATATACCTCGATAAAATGATTATAAATTTATTGATGATTAATTAGAACAAGTCCACATATCTAGAAATAGAAGTTTTTTATATAAAAATATTGATGTATGTCTTAGATTAAGATACTTGGACATAAATTTATCCTTTTAATAGCATGTTATTCTTTGATATATTGTTTAAAAAAACCCTAACAATGCTTTTTTTGTAAAACCACTTGCATAAAACTTGAAAAAATATATATACGGAAGTCTTTTCATTTGAAATTACCCTTGTCAGAATACTTTTATAAACATAAGGACAATTTTGTAACCAATGAAACTAGCAATTAAATCTATTTATGTTATTTCCCGTACAATGAAAAAAACTCGTTTAAGGTCAGAAAATAATAATTATAAATTTCTTGTTTTTTCTTCTAATGAAAATCAGCTGTAACTATAATTTAATGTAATTAATATTTAATATTCTACTTCAATGTCATCTCGAATTATAAACTTTATATATATATATATATGATTTATCAACAATCAATTGAGTACATCGAAGTATTTAGTATTTTGTCTTGATACATGTGTAAATAAATCTATGATATGATTTGATTTTCAATGTGTGTACATTTATTAAAAAATGATATTCATTTTCTCGTTTTTCTTTTTATGTATATTAAGAACAACTCTGGACGATGTATTAAATTAGAATCGTTCATTTGTCGCTGTTTCATCCGTCTATCATCGATCTATCTATCCACCCACCCTTACGCGCTCTCAGTCACTCATTCACTTATTCTCTTCCGTCCAATAGTATTATCATTTCTTCAGTTCCGAACGTTAGTCTTTTTTTTTCGATTTATTTCTAGAGTCGAGTCGAATAGAGAGAGAAAAAAAAGAGTAGAATAACATCAGTACAAACGACATTGAATGGTAGGCGGAAAAGAGAGAAAAAAAAAGAGAAAGCTTGACAAACTTGATTATATTTATCCACAGATTCGTTGCATCCGTTCGGTCATTATCAAAGAATAACAAGAGACTATAGGAAAACAGTAAACGTCGTTTTTATGACAAGTATTAGTAAGATCTGTTTGCACTAGTTAGTGAGAAGAATTTTATCATTTCCGTTACTTCTGAACAATCCCAACATCATCATCTTCGTCTTCTTTTCTTATCAACAAAAGAAAAATCAAAACTCCTCAAAGTGCATATATATATATATATTTATATATTATTCATTGTGTGCTAACTTGAAAAAAATGAACCAGATGTTGGTAAGTCTATCGATTGACAAAAAAAGATAGTAAATCAAGATAAAAACTTGCCTTCCTTTTTCTATTCTTCACTCGTTAATATACTTATGTTTGGCCCTATGCGTTAATCTTTACCCATCTGTCATCTAATTTCAAACTGATGTGAGATTTTGAATGTGGATAATGTCACGAAACCAATTACGAGAAGGTGCAACTATTAAACTTCTATATATTTTTATCTTAGTTTTATTTTTCTTCACATTTAATAACTAAACTATTCTATGAGATTTAGTCTATGAATTTCTCTTTTGTCATCACACATTCATTGTATGTCGTCTTATGCTTTAATGGTAATTTTTTCAAGTAACTTTCTTTCTTTCTTTCTCTCTCTATATCTTTTTTGCTCTGTCTGAAAGAGAAGCAAAACATATGAAGACTATATATATAAACACTTATATATCTTGAGAGACAAAATATATTTGAAAATTATCGTGTGGACTAAACATCAGAAACGTTTTTTCCGGAAGATTATTTTTAATCATTCACACTGTTTAAACCAAATATATATATTATCTCCATCTGTCAAAATAGTAAGTATATTTGCATACATATATTAGCAATAGTATAGTTATTATTGTCAATTGAATTCATCTTTACCTATTTTTAATAATGATAAATGTGAATAAGAAATAAAATAGAGTATCTATTTCAGAAATGAATACAATACAAAAAAAAGAGATAGAAGATTTCTTTTTTAGCTATATTTAGATATAATAATAGGAATTATTTAGAAGAAGCAAAGGTTAAAAGAGTTCTCTGCTATACATATATGTCAATCAACGTGCTTGGAATTTGTAATAAATATAAATTAATTTTGTTTTATTTACTAGTTTTATCTTTGACTGTTCAATGAATGACAATTCTCAATCGTCATATATTAATATGTCTGCATATGTTGCATTATCATGTTTAATAGCATTTGTGATCGTTATAACAATATGTCTTGTTAAACAATTTATATGGGATCCATTATTATCAAAACGTTTTGAAATTCTTCGACCTGTTTTATCTGAATCAGTTTATAAATTATCATCATCATTTTATCGTCCACAATCAAGTACAACATCAAATATATCACTAAATAAATCTTTATCAGATACATGTGTTAAACTAAATGAATCTCCATTAATAACAAATAAAAATTTTATAACTATTCCACAAAATTTACCATCAACAAATAATCCAATAAATAAAAATATACCACGTCGTTCATATGGTTCAGCATCTTTAAATCCATTTGCATATACAAATTTTGGTACTGATGAATTAATTGACGACAAAAATCAATCTTTTCCAATCTTACACTTTAGTTGTGAATATAATCCATCAACATTTAGTATTAGATTAAATGTACAAAATTTACGTCATATGAATTCATTATTATTATCATCAAATTATATACTCAATAAGGATGCTTCTATATTTTTAAGGTTTATAATATTATCTAAAACAATAACAGGTGAACCATATGAAACAACATTACAACGTTATCAAGATTTTATACGTTTTGGTGAAACATTTAATATATTGAGTAATATTAAAGCTGGAGATGTACTTAATTATGATATTAAATTTTATCTTATGGTACTAAAAGATAAAAATATGTATGAAATAGGTGAAGCGAGTTATTCAACAAAAGATGATCAATTAACACATATTTTATATATTGAACGAATATTACCAATTCGTTTAGGGAAAAGATTAAAATCAGCAACAAGCGAAGATAATGAGTAAAAAACTAAATATCAAAATTTAATATGTGTATATATATATTTTTATTTATTTATTAATATTATATATTTAATATGTTGTAATCGTTATTTTTGTGTTGTATTAAATATGATTGTTTTTTGTAGGGAGAAAAAAAAAGACTATAATAAAAAGAAAAAAAAGGAATCGCGCGAATAGCATTGAAATATTATTCGATTATTTTTCTGTTGAATATATAAATCAAATTATAATATAAAATATTTTCAATGAAACAATTTATTAATAAGATCTTTGTTAAGTATTGAGATATGATTAGATTTAAATTGATACATTTATATTTAATCTAACAATCATTTTCAGATTTAATCATGAATAACTTTAAATATAGAACATATTTTTTCGGCAAAAAAAAGATTAGTTCGTTTTTTGTACTCATCAACATCTTGTTGACACGATGAACTCTTAGAACAAACAATGTTTTGTACTTTAATGTTAATCGAAGTATATTATTACTGATAAATTTAAGAGCTCTGTAATGTATTTAACCTTTAAGATCTTCAAATTGAGTTCAATTACTGTTGATAAATAGTACATTTTCAATGTTTATATCGAGGGTACATTTTTCCGAGCGAGCAAATATTATATAACTAGAAAGAGAAAATATTCATAAGAAAAACTAGAAAGATTTCGATATATAACAGAATAGAATTTATGCTTCGAACTTTTCGATAATACTTGAATTGAAGTGTATCATAATGGAAAGAAGAGAATAACACTTCACATAAATGTGTCTATCTTATGTAAAGTGACAATTTTCGTTTGAATAATTAGAAAATTTCTTTCCTGTATGCTTTTTTAAGTTTATACGTATAAAGCGACATCTATATAAACGATATTATTCAATAAATAATTATATTATTTCAAAATCTATAGAGTTAAGTAAAAACATGTTGAAAATTATTTTTTTCGATCCAGACAAAATATCTTAGACAGACATTTATTATAGTTGACAGCGGGTCTTTGTTTTCAATCTCAATCTTGTCTTCTTTGTTCCGATCTTGTCATTACATTTCCCGTATAGAACAAAACTAGTACTAGTACTTCGACTCCATCAATATGTCTGAACAAACTATTGAAGATCAACAGGTACCTAAATAAATTTTCTCTATTATTGTCACTATTCTCTCATATATATATTTTAGTCTTACGCCGATCTCGAAGCAGTTAAAATTCCATTTGATGTTGCACAATGTGATGGTGATTTACTCTATACATATCTACCAAATTGGTTAAATAATTTAACTGATGAACAAATACAAACTCCACCAATGCCAGTTAATACATTTCAACATTATATTCATGAATCGCATCTTGAAGCAACCATGGCAAATAGTATACGTAAAATGGCTTTAAAGTAAATAAGAAATAAAAAACTACAATAGAATAATAATGAAATCTTTTTTTTCTATCTAGTGAAGATCGTTTATTTAAAATTGATGATTTTGAATTTGGTCGACCACTTGGTAAAGGTGCATTTGGAATAGTTTATTTAGCACGATTGAAAAAAACGAAATTTATTTGTGCATTAAAAGTATATTTAAATAAATATATCGTTTTGTTTTATTATTTATTTGAAAAATTATTTTAGATGCTTCATAAAAGTAAAATCAATGAGTATTCAATGGCTGAACAGGTTAAAATTGAAACTGAATCGGGTTATAAATTAAATCATCCGCTTATATTAACAATGTACGATGTATTTCATGATGAAAAACGATTTTATTTCATACTTGAATATGCTCCACATGGACAACTTTATCGATTTTTACAAAAATTACGTCGTTTTACTGATCGTTTAGCTGCTAGTGTAAGAAAAATTATCATTTTTTGTTTATTTTCTCAATTAAATTTCTTTTTTTTAGTATATCTATCAAATATGTCATGCATTAGAATATTGTCATAGTAAAAGTATTATTCATCGAGATTTAAAACCTGAAAATAGTAAATAATTAAATTAAAAAAAATCAATTTATGAGAAATCTTTTTTTTAGTTCTTGTTGATTGTTGTGGAAATTTGAAATTAGCAGATTTTGGTTGGTCAACAAAAATTCGTCATGCTGATACAATGTGAATAGAATCTATTTGAATTAATTATATGAATATTTTTTTGTTCTGTTTAGGAATACAACAGCATGTGGAACATTAGATTATTTAGCACCAGAAATTGTTGGTCATAAACAATATCAATATCAAGTTGATAATTGGTGTGTTGGTGTTCTTGCTTATGAACTTTTATCTGGTCATGCACCATTTGAAGGTACTGATGATGAAACAAAAGTGAAAATTGCAAATATTAATTATTCGTTTCCGGATTATTTTTCTCAACCTGCAAGAAAATTTATTGATAATGTAAGTTTAAATATAAGAGATAATTGTAACTAACTTCTTTTTGTTGTAGCTTTTACAAAAGGATCCAAAAAAACGTATGCCACTTGTAAATTGTATTGCTCATGATTGGTTACAAAAAAATGCTTATAAATATTTGTTTGGTCCATATAAATGTCCGATTTTTGTAAATATGGATGACTAATTTGTATTTTATATGAAATATGTTTATATGTAATAATAAAATAATTGTTTAATTCTTGAATTATGATCGAATAATATGCAGAAGTTTTCAATTTGATAGAAAATATTGAATAATTTTAGGATAAGAATGTATTTTTTCTATGTGAAAGTATCTGCATAACAATTGTTATTAGATCACTAAATCTGTTTATTTGGTATTGATTGTTTAAGAAAGATTCTATGATTGATTGAGTGAATGATATATCTATCGTAGATAGTGTACGTAAGAATAATCAAGAATATTAGTAGTATTTCAGTTTTGAAGTATACGGATATAATTCAATATAAAGTTAAATAAAGTTTCTATAAATAAATCTTGATGTATTGCATTATAGTTTTGTTTGTCTCAAGTATTGTGTATAGTAAATTGAGTTTATTCTATATAACCTTGAATTTTCTTTTTATATATAATTTATAATTAAATTCTTATAAACTTATGTTAGTGTTTATTACTTAGACAATATTTCCGAAAAGTATATTATAGAATTAAAGCTCAAGGATAAAAGCGGAGAAACAAATTTTGTGATAATCAATGATAGTGATGAGATGTTAATATTTTCTAATCCTGACATCGATCGATCGATCTTGTTGTTAGTTGATAATCTCGTTTAGAAGAAAAGAATAGAGATTCGTCTTTACTCAAGCCTAATCGTTTTGTTTGATTCTATTTGAAGAATTAATCATTTGCTTCAATATTCAGTTCGTCAATAGTTGCATACCCAATCTATAACATAGAATTCAAATGATTCTCAATTGTTATTTCGACTGATATTACTATGAGTAAGTAAATACTAATGCTGTAATCATCTCTCAGAACAATTTTCTAGGTCACTGAATAATTACGTGATCATTCATTTTATAGTGTGTTACTACTTGTATTATCATAAATGAAAAAGGTGTTATAGTTCTTTTATAAGTTGTCAGTAGATTGTCTACGTTTAGTCGAAGAAAAGAAAGTTAAATTGCCTCAAAAATTCTTTGTCTTCTATCTATCTATCTGTCTTGTCTGTCTATCATTCATACTAAACCGGAGATGACATTTCCCTCTTGTGTCACGTACTTTGTTCAATAACAATACTCTTAAATAGTTACAAGTCAATTATACATGACAATTAAAATATGGATTCATTAGCCAACATCATATATCGAAAGTCTTCTTCTTCTATACATTAAGTTACTAATTAATTTAAAGTTTTTTCTTTAGTGTGTTTTTTTTGTTCAAAGAAATATGAATTGATCTCTCAGACGTTCGATGCCTTGAAGACAATGTCTATATGACAATACTATAACATATACAAACAAAACCTGCTTAAGATTGTTTCTACAAAAGTAAAATTGACTGTGCACTTGTGACGTTCAGCTGTTGCATTGCATCATCTCGATATAGACATATATCTATATCTATATCTAAATAGTTAAAACATAACAGTTTGTAAGGCTGTTGTCAACATTATTTAATAGTCACATTTTCAATATAGATAGACACAAAGAAAAGAAGAGAACTCGTTGGTATAATTTTGAATAGGAGAAAAATAATTAGAGCGGCATAGTATAAAAAAAAAGAAAAGAAAGCTTTTAGCTTTTTTTTTATTGAATGATATCTATCATTCATTTATCCATTGATTGAACTAAGATAGAAAGAGTCACATATATATATAAATATGTATGTATGTATATATACAATATCTAACAGCATTCTATCCAGATGCGTTGTTAGATCCTCAATAGAGTTGAATAAACAAGCAAATATTCGATTATAAAAGAACAGGTGGTAAAGAACAATTAGACTTTCATTTTCTTTTGGATATATGTATGTGTTGTTATTGCATCATTTTTGTTTCGCACGCGTACGTATAGACCTGTATATAGTATGTCTGTATGGTGCCTTAAGTGGACCCTTTGGTGAAGAGTAAGAGCTCAACCATTAGTCCAATACTGTCCTTGTATTACTATTCTATAGTGATGAGTGACACATTGACACTTGCACTATTCATATTCATTCATTCATTTAGTTACTCATTCGTCCTATACAGTTTTCAATTGAGCATATCTGGCATGAGAATGTAAAAGAATAACATTTTTATAGAATATACATACATTCAAATAGATTATCGCCAGGCGTCTCGTCCCATTTTTCAAATGGTACATACATATATACATACTAACATGAGAGGCAACTAAGATCGATATTGTTTATAGAAAGTACATGTGCGTGTATACATGCAGGTATTAATTCATTTGTTCATTAGCTTAGACGGAACTTGAAGTATATGTATAAGTAACAACTGTAGTTATGTTGTCCCGCCTGTTTTGTTCATGATGAACAGTATTGGCTGTCATTGCAATCATTAGTGTATGTATATATATATATATATATATATATAGATTTCTTTTCCTGAGTTTAAAAAGATTCATAGTGTAGACTATGATTGAATAGCTCTGATTTCATTCAAAAAAATATAATCACATACACACTTATACATACTAGTAAAATCGTCTTATGTCATAAGATTTGAAACATATATAAATTTGATTCACTTTTCTCAATTAGTTATGACCATGTAATATGGCTTTCTCTTTTTTTTTCTCAATATATACATATATGTACAAGAAGCGAGTAAGGAAGATTAGGAGAGAAGGAGGAGTGAGTGTTATTTTTTTTCGGGAATCAGGCATACGTTCTTTCTCTTCTCCTTCTCCTTCTTCTTTTCGTTATTCTCTCTTCTTCTTGTTCTCTTCTTCAATTGTTCAATAGACGAACGACTTCATACACGCATATAGACATATATTCTTTCATTTTCTGTTCCATAGCGTGGCATATGGCAATTTGTTAATCATTGAACGACAAGAGCAGAATTAAAGACAAAAAAAAAGAAAAACTTATCATTTCATTTTTACTTTTTTCATCGTCTTGATACACTTGTTCATATATTTATAATATCTCTATCTATTCAACGTCAAATCTCATGATATGCCACCATGAATACACTTGACAATTTATTATCATGATTATTCAACTTATTTTACTTATCATAACTATTACCGGTAAATATACTTGTTAGATTTTCTTTCTTCTTTAGGAATTATTCACATCTCTATGGCATTTTCATCCTTCATTGACTATGCCTTTGGAGATAGGGAATATGTATCTATACATCTAATATAAACAAAAAATCATTCAATTATAGATATTTTTTCTTTTTCTGTTTGATTGTGCGTGCTTTACCCGTTAAGTCAAGGTATGTATAGCTAATTAATCTCTCGTGTGTATAACAACAATATTTGTGTGAAGTGAGAAAGAAAAAAAAAGAGATTTTTCCATTGTTATTTGCCAAAGGCCGTACACATTCGAGACACAAAATGTTAAGAAAACAGTACGGTGCCTTGGTCACTACAGAAATTAACTTCTATATTGTTGCCTATTTAATTTGCCTTGATCAAGGAATCATATTGAGCATCTCAATTGAAAGAACAGTTGGACAAGATGAAAGCATTCTTTTTTATTAATATGATAGTGGTAAAATAGCAAATAATAATAGATCCGCCCTATGACTTAGTCATTAAATTGAACAGCAGGAAAAGAAATATATCCCAATGGGAGAACATATATATGAACACAACAACAAAAAACTTTTTCTTTTATTTTGATTAATTAAATATTTCAAGGTATTGTCGATTCGTCAAACATCCGATTTATAAGTGGAGAACTCGATTCCATCATTTCACTTCGATGTGAAATCGCTCAATTACCTCCAAATGCTGTTGTATGTCTTCGAAAATTTTTTTTTCTCTCTCTATACCTTTCATCTCTATTTGTATGTAAATCTTAGATTACTTGGGTATATCGTCCAAGAGCTCCTACAATCGATGGTATAAAATGGTTACCATTATATGCAAATGCACGTCGTTTAACACAAAATAATCAACGTTTCATAGTTGATTATAGTGGTTATAATCTTCAGACAGAAAAACACTTATCAATATTAACTATAAATAAATTAAATGTATCTGATGAAGGTATTTATATGTGTAAATCAAATCAATATCAATCATCAGCAAATAATTTTAATTTAACTGTTATTCGTAAGTATAACAAAACAAAAACTTTCGTTTTAACAAAGATTTTTCTTTTAAGCTTTAATGAAAATCTTGCCAAATGATGGAATTATTGAATTAAATCATTTACAACGTTCAATTAATTTATCATGTACAATACGTGAATTAGATCAAAATATAATTGATCCATTAAAAATCAAATGGTATCATAATAAACATGAAATAAGTCATCAAAGAAATTCACATTTAATTAATAAATATTCTCATAATAATCAAGCAACATTAATATTATATATACATAATTTATCTACGAATGATTCAGGATTATTCACATGTAACTATGATAATGGATTAATAATTAAAGATGTACAAATAGTTTATACATCTGCGGGTAAATCAAATTCTTCTTCTTCTTTTTATTTTTACCAAATGATTATCGAAATTATATTTCTTTTAGTACTCGAATATTCAAGATCGATGAGTAGCAAACTAATGTCTACATGGTTATTATTAGTTTTCATCATGATCATCATTTTTATTATACGATGAATAATTATTTTTCATCTTCTTCTTCTCCTCGTTCTTGCTTTCTTTCTTTTTTATCGTATAATTCTTTCTCAATTTGATGCATGTGTGTTACACAGTGTTTGTTATCATGTTCGCTTTTTCTGTTTTTTCTTTTGCATTGTCTGTTCATCGATCCAAATTACAAATGAAGATGACAGTAGACTCTCAATATATAAGACCTTGTCACTGGACTACTTGGGAATGTTTTCTCATGAGAATATCGAGAAGGAAAAGTCAAACAATGAATTTTATGTATATATCAATGTAAGTTTCTATCATCGTCAATTGGCCTTGGAAAAGTGTCGCTCGACATGTTTCCAATTATACTTATATTAGAAGAATAAAGAAAAGAAAATATATCTATGTAGTAAGAAAATTTGATGACAAATATTAAACAAAAGCAAGAGTGAAACAATTTTCATCTTTCCTCATCAATGTTGTATTTCTCATGTTCCACTCACTTAGTTATTATTACATCATCATCATCATCATCTTATCTCAAAATAATCATCCTTCTTCAACTCTCTCTCTCTCTTTCTTTCTTTCACATTACGCATCCGGGAAATAAGCAAAGAACGGATTAGTTATACTACCGCTGGCAATTGATACATTCTGAAAATGAATTCATTATCAATCCACAAGGACAAGCTTTGCTTAAACTCATACGATAATTAAACAATAATCTTATTAAAAAAAAATGCAAAATACAATTTATTTTTATAAATCAAAACTTTGTTCATCATCACTATCAAAACGTCTTGTACGAACACGAGAACGCAATAATTCTACATCACATACAAATTCAATTGGAACTTTTGAACAAACTAATTCATTTGATATTACTGTCACACTACCACTTTTCTTGAATGTTGATAGTTCATTTTTTGTTTCATATAAGATCACAAAACTGCCTTCTTCCATCGAAAAATGACAACCACATTTACATTGATAATCAGTGAGAACAAGAAGTAATCGATGATTGTGACATAGCTTAGCAAAATATTCTTTTCGAAGTGTTGTATTTAGATGTGCAGCTTGTGTTGGTAGAGAAAGTGGCGATGATGATGTTGATGATAAACAAGTACGAAAGAGTTGTCGACATTTGATCATTGTTTTATTTGAAGATGGAAGTTGTGTTTGACGACGACGTGGAGGAGGTAGTGGTGGTGGCGATGATGATGGTGAAGAGAAAAGAGTTTGATCATCGTCGAGAAAAGCGGCAATCGATGATCGACATCGAGGTGCAGCAAAAGGTAGATCTTTTGTTTCAAGAATCGTTCGAGAACCATAAATAGATGAATTACTTGATGTTGAAGATGATATTGAAGAAAGAGAAGTAGCTGACTGCATGATAATCTAATAAAATAAAAAATAAATTTAATCATTCTATATATCGATTACGGAGAAAAAGTCAGTTATGAGCTGATAGTACGATCTGAAGATATTCTCATCTACCTCGAACTATTTTCAGTAGTGTGATATTTCACTTAGAAGAGACAAGATATTATATACATTCATCCATCGATCCAATCAATCATTCAAGTGCGCACTATGTATATGAATTCTTACCGAGAGATACGTGCTTTATTCGAATAAAATATAAATATATAAGAATGAAGTAGTGAAGAGATGAATGTGATTGTGCGTATATTTATAGATAAACAATATTGTCGAGAGAAGAGAAAAAAAATTATTGCTTAATGCTAATGAATACTAAACGACTTACATCAATTGAATCCAATCAATTACACTTTCACTAATTTCTACACTCATATCAATATGAAAGAAAATGAATCAACACATCGAATTCTTATTGAACATTTGAGAGAATCGTTTTTATTTTTTTTTGTATTCATTTATCACTCATAAAAGTTATCATTCGTTGAGATCAGAATTGACTAAAAGAAGAAGAAGCAGAAGAAGAAATAAAAAGATAAAGTTGTTGTTTATAGTAAACAATGCCTAAAGGAAAGGAAAGATGGATGGATAGACCGGTAGAATTATGTTAAATGTCAGTGATGTGATAAATTTTTGTTAAATAAATTGTGATGTAGGTGAAAATGAGCTGCATGAAGTTATATTACATGATTGTTAGATAACTTACCAATTAATGCTAATCTCCTGATTGTTATGAGAAAAGCGCATCATTATATGAACTTGTCATCGAATGTGATTGATACGTGAAATAGACTCAGGTGTGCAATAGTTTTATTAGAAATATTCAATAAAAGACATGCAGTTTAATGATGCATTCCTTGCCAAATATAATTGACGCTTATACAATACTATGAAATTATTAAAATTAAATTCTGTCAAAGATATTCTTTTACGTAATCGACATTGAAATAATTGATATGATTTTTTAAATATCACAATACAATATAGCCAAGTTGATGGATGTCTGCTATAAAGATATATTATATAAAAAAAAGGAGATAACCAATATGAGTTAATGATTATATCAGATTATCATTATTTTTCATTATGTAGGGCTTCTACTGCTCTTTAAAAGAAACGACAGTCGAAGAGCGAACAGTTTAGTTATGCATTCAGTAAAAGAATGCTTACAGTCGTATAGTGAACATCGGGTGCACCTTATTTCTTTCATCAAATGATTTTCAATGATCGGCTTTTTTTCATCGTCATTCATAAAAATTATGTAATAAATTCTTCAGTTATTCATTAAAGTGTTCATGAGTATGAGTTGGTGAGTAATGTAATGAACACGAGAAAATATATCTCTATGCTTACGATTGAAGTATCGAAAAACACAAGACAATACATATTTGATAGAAAACGTGACATATCAAACGAAATAATTCATGTTCAACTTGAACATTTTTAATTTTCAGTGAATAATATGCATATGTCACTAAAGTCTTCACTGTTCATTATAATCTCTTACGAAAATTCGACTTTAGTTTTTTATTACATTCAGTTATACCTATTAAAAATAAGTTCAGTATGACATGCAACTGTCTCACAGACAAAAAACTTTCGATTAATATTACTAAAAAATCTTTCAAATCATAATGTTAAAAGCTGTTACACTATAAAATGAATCAGTTAACTTTTGTTCAAATTTTATTTTATTTAAAAAAATGCAAATAACAATTTATTTTATAAATCAAAACTTTGTTCATCATCACTATCAAAACGTCGACAACGAACACGAGAACGCAATAATTCTACATCACATACAAATTCAATTGGAACTTTTGAACAAACTAATTCATTTGATATTACTGTCACACTACCACTTTTCTTAAATGTTGATAGTTCATTTTTTGTTTCATATAAGATCACAAAACTGCCTTCTTCCATCGAAAAATGACAACCACATTTACATTGATAATCAGTGAGAACAAGAAGTAATCGATGATTGTGACATAGTTTAGCAAAATATTCTTTTCGAAGAGTTGTATTTAGATGTGCAGTTTGTGTCGGTAATGAAAGTGGAGATGATGTTGATGATAAACAAGTACGAAAGAGTTGTCGACATTTGATCATTGTTTTATTTGAAGATGGAAGTTGTGTTTGACGACGACGTGGAGGAGGTAGTGGTGGTGGCGATGATGATGGTGAAGAAAACAGGGTTTGATCCTCATCGAGAAAAGCGGCAATCGATGATCGACATCGAGGTGCAGCAAAAGGTAGATCTTTTGTTTCAAGAATAGTTCGAGAACCATAAATAGATGAATTACTTGATGTTGAAGATGATATCGAAGATAGAGAAGTGGATGATTGCATGACAATCTAAATAGCACGGAAATATGAAAATATCGTTTGGTTAAGATCGATCGTTTTATCAGTGTGATATTTCACTTAGAAGAGACAAGATATATATATGTATACGTTTATCTATCTACCTAATCAATCATTCAAGTATATAAAATGAATATGGCTCCTTACCGGAATACGTGCTTTATTCGAATAAAATACAAATATATAAGAATGAATCAATAAAGTAGTGAAGAGATGAATGTGATTGTGCGTATATTTATAGATAAACAATACTGTCGAGAGAAGAGGAAAAAAATTATTGCTTAATGCTAATGAATACTAAACGACTTACATCAATTGAATCCAATCAATTATGCTTTCACTAATTTCTACACTCATATCAATATGAAAGAAAATGAATCAACACATCTAATTTTTATTGAATATTTGAGAGAATCGTTTTCTTTTTGTATTCATTTATCACTCATAAAAGTTATCATTCGTTGAGATCAGAATTGACTAAAAGAAGAAGAAGAAGAAGAAGAAATAAAAAGATAAAGTTGTTGTTTATAGTAAACAATGCCTGAAGGAAAAGCAAGAAGGGATATGTAGAATTTTGTTGAATAATAATATATGATGTAGGTGAAAATGAGCTGCATGAACTTGTCTTATATGATTGTTATATAACTTACCAATTAATGTTAATCTGTTGATTGGCTTGAGCAGTGTGCAGTCAATGCCATATATGTAATGTAAATATGTAATGGAGGAAATGAGCTTACATGGGATGTGGAGAAAAAAGTTATATTATTATTTTGACATGGACACTAGAGATTGGAAGATGGAGTAAAGTGTTTGACTCTGATTTTGATGAAGGACATTACATTGAATACGTCATAAGACATTAAGACTGAGAAAAGTGTTATCTTAGTTACGATTCATTGTTAGATTTACAGTTTCTGATGCTTCTCTTCTTAATTATTAGAACTTTTGGCAAAGATGATGAGAGATCAGGTAGTGTGAGAAAAGAAAGTATTAATATGTTGTTGATAATAAAATTATTTGTAAGAGACATGTGTGAATTTTGATAGTTGTTAATGCAGAGAAACGATTTGTTTGTTTTTTATAGATATTCATGAACAAGAAACATAGATTATGAGCAATCTAGTTGATGTGTGAAAAAACTGAGTGGCCAAGAACGACTTATTGATTTATATATATAAACTCACTGTAGAAATAAGAAAAAATAAATTGATATTTTATTCATTTGTTCTTGAACTGTATCACAAACGAAAATATCCCCGATGACAAACACAAAACGAACTTATTTTTATGTCTATGATATTTAGATAATGACAGATATTATACATTCAAGTTCAGGAATTACAACTCGGTGATGGGAAGCAAAAACATATCTTGTCAAGTTATTCTATCATTTTGAAACTGAAATGAATAAATCTTTTCCGATGTATCTTTTGTTGTTTTTTTTGACACAACTTGATCCATTCTAGAAATGAATTCTTGATTTTTATTTAAAATATTTGTTTTCTAAAAAAAACTGGTGACATTCATAATACAAGGCGCTTCAATTTTTATTCTTAATTTCTTTTTTTTTTCAAAACTACAAAAAAAAACTGAATGAAACAATAAAAAATACTGAATATACACAGTAGCAAATTTAATTTTTCATAACAGACAAACGAGAAATTTCACCGGTAGATTTTCGTTTGTCTGTACTGAATTCTATCATAGAAATCTTGTTAAGAAAATTCCTATTATTAAAATTAAATATGATCTATTTAATAAATCTAAAATAAATATAATGTTTTCATCTTTTTTTAGTAAAATTCAAAATTATACCTGAAGATTTATTTGCTTCTAAATGAACTGAAACAGATTTTCTTAATGGATCTGATTCACATATATAACTTCCAGCTATATTAGCCGGCTCACCCGTATAGAATAATGTGGATATAAATGAATGTTGAGTTGAATTCTTTGTTATACGTGCATGTCGATTCGAATTTGTTCCAAGTCGTTTATTATTATGCCACCAATGTATTTCATGACGTCGACCTGTATGATTATCTGTTAATATACAATTCAAACGAATGGAATATTGACCAAGTTCATCAGCTGGAATTATAATTTGTTTTGGAGTTATATCAAGACTTTCTGGAAAAAAAGAGAAATTATTAATAGATTAAAATAAAAATGATCGATATTTTAAACTAACGTATAACTCGAACTTGATAAGTCATTTGAATTAATTTAGGTGAAAGTGATTTACACATATAAAGACCTTCATCTGATTCCGTTACTTTTGCTAAAGTTAATATTGTTGAATATGTAACAGATGTATCATTAGTTTGTTGGCTTTTTTGTTGAATACTATAACGTGTTTCACTTGATGTTAATAATTGTGAATTAAGAAATAATGGTCGCCAATAAATTTTATTCGAACGATGATTGCTATGATAATCAGTTGAATTTTGATAAAGCCATTGAACAATCTTAAAAATAGATTAACAAAATGTAATATGTATATCGAGAAGGATTTGGTTTTCTTACAGTTTTGTCACTGTCTTCTTCTGGAAATGTACATGAAAGAGATAGATCAGAACCATATTCAGCTGTTACACGTTTTGGCTGTATTCTTGACGTTGCTATAATTAAATATGAAATTAAGAATAAAGGATAAGATATAATAGGAAATTTTTTTCTTGATGCTTTAGCTTCAGTATGTACTAGAACGATTTGATCATAGATATTGAATCTCTCATTCAGTTCTAATGATATCAACAAATAGTTACATCATGACTATAGAGTGCTATATATCGTTGGTAATGGAATAAAGAACAAGTCATTAAATACTAGAAATGTGGCTCGTAGAAATTTAGACATCGATATTAATTTATGGCATGTATTCCGAACATTTAAAAACGAAAAAACCTATTATCTAGTGTTTACAATGATTTGTCTTTTGTAATATTGATTGCTATTATTAGAAGTATTTGAGCGATTATCTCTAAGATGTTTAATATGAAGAAAAAGATAAGACAGATCAACATCTTTGAAGATACATAAATAAACGATTTTCAAATGCATTCATGTTTACACAAAGATTACAATCCTAATGCTAACAGTTCGAATTTGTTTTTTATTAACACTTACACATATTTTTGATAATATTATAGAATCCTCCGTTTTATTAAAGTTGTTTTTGAACGAAAAATGTTATATCACAATAGCCCCGAAGATGGAATTGATTTTCTTTATTTACGTATAAAGAATTCAAATACATGCTTGAATATCATTAGTTTATGGAAAACTTTCGAGTATAGAATTTTGTAAAAATGACTGATTATTACTTCAGTTTTTTTTCTTTATGTCAAGCATTACTAATGAATAATGATCGATCATAGTTGAAACCTGTTATTCTGAAATCTATAAATACTAACAAGAATGGACAAGTTTATTAATGTATGATTAAGAAAAACTCCAAAATAAAAACTCGATTGTCGTAAGAATATATGTCGATCAATAGAATCTATTAGATTGAGTTTTGACGTATCTAACTGATTAGATTGTTCCGATCTCGACAAATTCTATCAATTATCGATCAAAATAGATCAATCTATTCTAAATAGTGTATATAGAAATCTGTATTTTGTTACTATAAATATTGAACAACAATGCATTCTATCCCTACGTCTACATAACAAAAGAAAACAAATTTTATCCATTTATAACTGCTGGTGATATTTGAATTAGATAATTGAAATTCTTTTATTTACAGACAGATTATTCTTAATCAAACTAATTCAGCTTGACATACATTGCTTCCTCCTCATTGAATCCCTTCTTCCTTCTTTTTAGAAAAAATATAAATTATTCAATTAAACTTCATTCAACTGCTTCAACCTATTATTTTCACTAAAAATTACACATTAACCGATATCCCTTTGGGAGTAACTTTCGCATGATAGATTCATTCTTTTTTTTTTAAAGAGCTAATCATAAATCAATTATCAACACTTACCATAGATAATATCAATCAATAGAAGTAATAACCAAATAATAAAGAATCGTCGATAAAAATCCATTTATAAAATGTTTTTTTTTGTGTCTACTTCTTCTTTCTTTTTTTTTGTTTTGTTTAATAATAATAATATTCTGAAATAAAACAGATACAATTATTCTCGTTAATATAATGATATGTTTGACACCGATGTATCAATAACATCTGATACATATACAATCATTATCCAACATGTCAGATCACAACAATTGCTTTTATTCATTGTATCGTTCGAAAAAAAGTACTATGTCTTACATCATAATCGTGCAATGAATTCCTTTTTTTTCTCTGTTTGACAAAACGAACAACATTCAAATTACTAATTGAAGAAGGCGGTGAAATATGTATACAATATATATATATTGTCCACGAGAATCGTCTTCTCTCTTTTGTTCTACGACACGCACGCAATGGATACTATACAATAGTAATTAGAACAACACACACACACACACACACGCACTACTGAGAAATATGTACAGATGAGGATAGCCAACTGACTACCCCTCCGGAGAAGACGAGTTCGCTCTTGTCTATTTACAAATTGATTAAAAATGAATGAAACTGAATTACTTCCCATGCGTCATACAATAGTAGTGGTCAATAGTCGTATAGCGACCGTGGCGGCGATGATGAAGAGACATGCACACTCAAAAAACCCTAGTAATACATACACGACATATATCGCCTATGTCATGCAACTACGCGTGGACATTACTACACGACTTAAGAACAACTAACAATCATCATCTTTATATTCGGGTCATATTTACACTGACTACTTTATGATAGATACGTGCTAAAGAACGTTCACTTATAAGTATTCTGTCTCATATATATTGAGAATAATTTGAGTCAGGTTATATATATATATATATATGTGAGTGTCTATATGTATTATTACAATTGAGAGATTTTTTGAAGAAGAAGAAGAAAAAGAACAACATGTAATATTACTTATACAAAACTTTTGTTCATGATCATTTACTTTACATTTCACGAATTGTATTATATAGAAGTTAATAATGTTTTGTTTGCATTTCATAACCAACTTGTATATGCTTTAAGGAAGGAAAAAGAAAAGTCAATTGATTGATGGAGTACGAATAATTGGTTTGAACGCGCAGAAACAGAAGGAAGAAAAAACCTAGATATCAATAATATTTATCAACGCATGAAAAAAAACAAGTGATCTTTTCTCTCTATGTCATATAGTTTCTATAGTACTAACATGTCTCAAAATTTGATTTTACGACATACAAGAAGAGCACACATTCATCTTTTGTCTGATTGTCCGTGCGTGTTCATTTTTCTGTACAGTCAATGTTATCGGAAACGAGTAAATGCTCATTTCATATACATTTATACATACATATAAGCTCAGGCGATGACCATTGACAAATTTCTAATAGAATGAACGAATGGAAATAACCGACAAAAAGTCGATTACCCATCATTAGACAAATGACATCATATGATCTTAAAATATCTTAAGGCAATAGAACGGTGTCTCGACTTGTTTGAAACAGAAATTATTCGTATTTATATAAAAATGACTATGTGTGCGTGTATTTTATGAAGAAAAAAAAAAAGAAAAAGAGAAAATGATTGAGCGTAACACATACATCGATCATTACGTAGCTATATATACTCAACTATGCATGAACAAATAATAAGCATATAAACCAAAGTTAGTTCATTGACAATCGATCTTAGCGCTACTCGTGAAAGATGACCTTCCCTGAGAAAACGCTCATTCACTGGAGTGCTAATTTCTTTCACTTCATTTTTTATGCCACACGCAAACTCGATCAAGTGTATGAAACGGTTTCCTCTTTTTCTTTCTTTGTGAATCGCCTACTCTCGCGCAAACTTTGTGTCATTAAACATTATTTCTGCTGTCACTATTACCTTATATGTATGCCGTTACCATTTCTTCCATTACGTACTTTTATTCACCTGTTATGACAGATCTTCTCATTCACTTCGCTTGTTCATTCAACATTGAACAGTAGTCACTATATCTCAAGTGGACAAAATGGGAGGAGAGAAAAAAAAGACATTGAACGTTTTCTCTCTTTCTTCTCCTTCTATCTATGTATAGATCAAATGTTTTGGAGTTCTTTTCCCTTTCTTTCTTTTTTTTTGTTGTATATTCTATTAAAATGAAACGCAAAGAAGAAAAAAGATAGCCGCCCGGACATGTGCCGCCGTTCAATTGGTAAAATACGTGCGAATGAAGAAGTTCTCGTATATATATATATATACTTGAAACAAATAAAAAGTGACACACACTATGACAACGACAGACGCATCCCGCTGTGTTTCGTGATGCGAAAAAGACATTGTGCATGTGCGCCGTTCAACCAACGGAAGTTTTAGAAATTGGCTCCTTCCGATGCGGAGACGGGAAACTTCATGAATAGGCTCAATAAAGCTTTAACTAACTCAGAAAGACGTATACATTTATTTATCGTATACATTCAATTAGATAAAAAAAAGAAACTCTAACCTGTATATTATTATTATTATTTGTGTGACAATGACTATTACTTATATCGATAAGTTCAAAAGAATAATCTAAATAAATGAATAGATAAATTGTCGGTGAGAAGAAAAAAGTCAACGAACATTTTCGATGTTAATCGAATCAACGTGTGTTGGACACTAATCGGTCTTTTGACCCTTTGATTGCATCATGTTTGATGTTCTACCAGTCATTTTTAATAGAAGAAAATAGTAATAATAATGATGATGATGATTATGGTGATGATGACGACAGCTAAGTATGATAATCTCTGAGCAATAATTGAATTTAGCTATATGTGTATATGTATATGTCGTCAGTACAGACCACGCCTAAAGGCTCTTCTACATCTGAATAAATCACTCGACTTTGACCTATTCGCATCATCTTTAGTATACATATATATTGCTCAATACACATTGAATTACTCCCCTTTCCTTTCTCATTTCTATAGTGTCAAGGATCTAACAAATATAGTAGTATGTGTTTGGACGTATGAAAAAGAGAGTCCCGAGAGCATCAATCATTTGTGTGACATATGAGAACAGTCGTTCCAATTGGATGAGTTTTTCTCTTTTCTACTTATAAACTGTAACAACTAGAAATATTGTATCTGGATTCGGTAAGGTCAATAGGAATGATAGAAAAGAAGAAATATGGCCCTGATGTAAGAGCTCTTTACGCTCATATACATGTAAAATTAGCATTTTCTCCTTCTAATTTCTTCTTACAGTCGAACGGAAGTCTGTCCTTCCTAATAAGGAACTTGATACTGATTGAGTACACAGCATTTATCTATCTATCTATGTGTATATATATATACATATATATATGTATTTATATTAGTGAAATCGATCTCTTTTTTTCTTCTATTCGCACGTCAATGAACACGTTGTATGATATCTCTTTATGTGTATGTTTTGTGTATTGTTGATAATACATTAACACACACACACACACACATATGCACTACTAAATTGTTAATGATCAAAGTGTGCATGTGAGTATTGAAGACAATAGAAGCTAGTGAAATGAAACACATCTATGCGCAAAGATTGCCTTCCGCAAGACTGACTTTAGTTTAAAAGAGTCGGCGCGTAGCAAACCTCAAGGCGTTCATTCTACACAACTACGACGACTACTACTACTACAGTCAGTCAATCAATCGAGCGAACGACAAAGGATTGTATTATGATGAGACAGCAATAATAATAACTTACAATACAATAGGTACAAAAGAGCGAAAAAAAAACCTCAGAGAATCATGTTTGTTGACTGAAGGTCATTTGACGCGTGCCAAAGAAACCTTAGTTAAAGTATTTATTGTGTGAAGATATTTATTATTAACATATGATAGAAAGAAAAACGTATGACACTGATCCGAAGTTAGACATTGGATCTGATTCAGTCTGATATTTCTTCATATTTCAATTTTCTATGTCATCGAAATGACATACCCATCAACTTACCTGTGGCTAATGTTCAAAATTCAATTAGTAGACTGAAGTAGCAAGGGAAATGCATCATCCTTTGAACATAACATATATATATGTGTGACTACGTAACATGTACTCATCATTGAACCATTAACGAGGCAACACTTTTTTTTATTCGATCGTGCATATTGCGATATTATTATCATCAAACGGAAAAAAAGAAGAAGAAGAAGAAGAAGAAGAAGAAACCGAACGAATGAACGACGATCGGTTGATCGAGCGAGGCGATCAATGTGCACAAAGAATATAAAGAGAAAAAAATATATATATAAATAAGAAAAAAAAACCGCCAACACAACAAGGCCACAAAAGAAAACTTCTTAATAATGACGAGTATACATACACACAAATACACCACTCTAAATTTCTGAAAAATGTTATACAAAAAGAAAAACGACAGAAAGTTGATCTTTCCTTGGTAAGAGTAAAAAAAACAATGTACTAAAAAAAAGAAAGAGAGAAAGAAAGTCGACAATTGTTTGTTGCTTAACACCAGACAGAATATGACAGAAAACAGAACATACAAGATATATTTTTTAAATATATCGAAGTAAATATGTATAAACAGCTGGTAATTCTGTTTGTCCATTTGAATTTAATTGTACATCATTTCGATGATTTGTTGCTGCTGCATAAATTGTAAATGTATAAACACCTTGTTTAGGTAATTTTAATGCAAATATAACATTAAAACCACCATTTGGTTTAATAGTCACATAGTCTGATGCATTTAAACGTTGATTTAAATTTGGTAATGGTGTTCGTGATGGAAGATCAGATGGTGTATGATGATAAATAAGATCAAACGAAAAATCAACCATTTTACGTATTTGAAATAATAATTCAAGTGTATTGATTGAACGTAATGTTATAGATGGATCCGGATGACTTATTGGACTCATACCAAATTGAGAAAGTAAATTTGTATTTCCGCCTACTCGAGGCATTGGTACTGAAGTATTAGCTCCTGAACCATTTGTATCTCGTGAAGATGATGAACCTTGGAAAGATATATATATATATATATTAGTTATTTAATTTTTATTGACATTTATAGGACGTGAATTTAGTATTTCTTTCTTTTCTACGAAAAACATTCGATAGTTTATCAATGAGATTTGACAGCGGGAAGAAAGTGTCATTCAAGGCAAGATACTATATCATCTTTCATTTTAATTATTTGTGATTGAGTATCTCGAATATGATTATTTTCACTGGAGGTTTAAGAAAAAACTAAATGTTATTTCCCTAGAGAAAAATCTAAATATGTTAGTGTAGTTTGGAATTCAATGAAACCATTTTAATCACTGTCTCGATATAAATATAGTAACTTTGAAATTTAGTTGAAACAACAAGAGAATTGTGACGGGCGGGAAATTGTTAAAATTAATAGAAAAAACAATAACCTATTCTTTCTTTCTTTCTTTCTTTGTAATGTAAAAGAATAAGTGTAAATCATTTTATGATCGATCAAATTCAGACATAAAACACTCCGTGACTGATGTACATTAGTCAAGCTATCTAAATCACTTTCTCTTTTCCTATTAATTTTAAGATATTGAAATGAATAAATAATATTAAATACACACGATTTATATCTTAAATTGCGAATATTTTTCTCGATATAAATATATTCAATAATTTAATTTGATTTTTATTATCTACGAAAGACGTAAATATCAATTAAATTCAAGTACTATCTAGCAAAAAATAATATTAATATAAAACTTACGCGGTGATAGACTACGTTCTGATTGATTGAAAGTTGAATTAGTTCGTGGTGATGTCATTCTTTGTTGTCCATTTGTTTTTCCACTATCAAATGAATAATCATGATATAAACTATTATTATTATTATTATTATTATTATTTGCTGTTGCTGCTGCTGCTGTAGTTGTTGGATCAACAGCAGGTGGTTTGGAATAATTAATAACATATTTGCAACAATGTGACATTGTTCGTTTTTCGGTTTGATATTCTGGATCACGTGCATATAAATCAATACCATATTGTCCATCGTGTGGTAATTGTATAATAAATGATATTATAAAATCAAATTCATCATATTCATATTTAACATATTTATCGAGAGTATTTGATGTTGCTGAATTTGATATGATACTATGATCATGATTGATCGATGGATATTGATTTGAACTTAATTTACCATGAAATTTAAGTTGTTTTGGACAACGAAATTTAATTGTTATTGGTAATTGATGTGTTTCAAAAATAGCTTGAAAATGAGTCAATGGACAAATATTAAAATGACGAATTGCTTTCGCCGGACCCCATTCACCTGATGCACAAGCTGGAAGTGGATGCTATTTAGAAAACATTTCAAGTTATGAATGAATATTCGAAAGAAATAAAAATTTACCATTCGTTGAATTAAATGTTTACATATTATACGATATTTACAAACACATTTTAATTTAAAACTTTGTCCAAATGGATTTGGATCAGGTTCCTACAAAGAGAAAATTTTTATGAACAAGCAATTCATTATAAAGATTTCAGATTGGACAAAACAGAAATAACTTTTACTTTAAAACTAATCTCCTTTTGTGCTTCTTAATAAATTTATGAAATCGAACATACTTCTGCAAATTATTAAATTTCATTAGTAATTACAAAATATAATAATGCCGCGTTCTACTTGAATAGAACGTTCTAAAAATCCATTATCATATAGAGTTTATTAACAAGAAAATATGAACTGTATTCCTATAATATTATTTTCTAACTATAAACTATTTTTACATGCTTAAATACATTGTATGGTGTTGATCAGCACTTTTCACGTCATACACATAAGGAGCTTTCTTATCTACGATAAGGTGCTTAGAAGTACTTATAAAACTAAAAGCGAGCATACGTACTTAAAGTTTACATGAATTCTCTAACTAGAGTTGACAAGATTCAAATTCAATTCGAACAAAATAATATATTCTATGTTTGATTTTTAACAAGAATTATGGGTTGTGTTCCTTTTCGAGAAACAGACATAACACACCAACTATTTTTTAAGGTTTCCCGACATATAAAAATACACAGAGTTTTCGGAATGACAAAGATTTAAAACAAGCAGAGTGTTAGAGTGGGTGTGGATGTGGATGTATAAGTCATTTTTCTCTCATACTACACACCATCACCAGATTTCGTGAAAATATTTTACATATTGTGGAGCATTTCGTTCCGATTTCCCTATATTTTTTAAAACTATAATTTCCTGACCAACATGTTTTACGGACTCCCGGTAAAAAAAAGTCAATTTCGAATATCTGGACAAATTATCAGGTGTTCGGGACACCTAGTACGTTATGTCTTTGTCCTTCCTTTTCGCCGAAAAACATTTTATCGAAAGGATTTTTCCCCTCACTCATACTTTTTCAACCGCTTCCAAGCGAAAAACTGTTTTTCGGCGAAGAGGATACATGCAGAATTATGATAATACTTATCGATTCTATCCTACATATATATATCAATGCTTTCATCTATTATTATTTATAAGAGAGAAAAAAAAAGCATTTGTTTATTTTTACCACAAGTGATGCAAAAACTTCAATAAAATAATCTGCTTCTTGTGGTACATGAATATTAAATGAAACTAAATCATCTTGAACTGTATGTAATACATAACGTTCAAGTTTAACACCTTGAAATTCACCTAAATCTTCTCCTTGTTCATTTGTAGTTGTATTTGCAAAACGTAAATGAAAATGGAATGCTAAACGATGTTTAAGTGAATCAGGCATACGTAATTTAATATCACATGCACCACGATTATCTGTTTGAATAACTGCATATTGTTGATTAACAAATGATAAATGATAATGAAAAAAAAGTGAACGAACAAATGGTAATTGTTCAAATTGTTGTAATGTTATTGGAGATTCAAGTAATTGCCATTCACTTTTATATGGAAAAAATTCCAAAATAAAATCTTCGGGATCAGGTAGAAAATAATGTTCATCATACTATAAGAAAAAATATATATATACATCGAAAATTTACTTATTTTGAATTTAACCTGATATTTTATTTTTTCTCTTGTTGGTTTTGGTGGTAAAACATCAATTTGTTTTTTATCTTTACTCATAACTAAATGTCTATGAAAATAAATTAATAGACATATCAAAATTACTAATAAAACATTTACCTAGCACCCCAATTACATTGAACAAATCTCCATTCACCATCAATTACAACAGCATTCCATGTATTGGTAAATTTTCCTTCACCAATTTGCATACCTGGTTCATAACCTACACTTTTTGAATGACCTTTTACATCAACACAATATATAGCAGCAAAACTAATTCAATAAAACTAAATTAAATAAATACATAAAATATCATATGTTTTTTTACCTGCATAAACGCATGAATAATGTATGATAAGTTTCAGTACCATATTTTATACCACGTAATAAACCCATTGGAGTATCAGCAGCAAGATTATTATGAAAATCAATTGCATTTAAATCTTTTACAGTAATCCACCGGAAAATAGCCCTAAATTATAAGAATATATATAAATGTATGTTTATATTTCGATTGTAGCTTATTCTCCAAACATGAAACAAAAAAAAACATAGTGGTGGCTGTAAAGCACATAGTAGCAAGAGAAAAAAATATGTATAGATATATATATAAAGGGGAAAAATGTCATTTCCATGCATGATTGTTTTTTTTTTTGTTCATACATACTTACACATAAACACTTAAAATGACTAAATTCAAAACTAGAATTTTATTCCTCTGTTAGTGGACAATGGAAAAGTGAAATTTTATAGATATTTACCTTGCTTTTTCTAAATCAGTTACTAAACCAAATGTTAATTGATCGACTAATTCTGTATATGATGTTTGATCACTTTCAGCAACAGCAATAGCTTGTTGATCGACATGTTCAAATATAGATGGATCGAGATAGAGATCACGTTTACGACGACGTGGAGGTTGAGGAGCTGGTGGTTGACGCATTTGAAGCATTGTAAATGATGTTACACGTTGATCATCAACACCATTTTCTGACTAAATTAAGATAAGGAACTATTAAAATAGATTAAAACTAAATAATTCAGATCGAAGTAATAACAAGCTGTTTGTCCTTTCTACTCTTATAAGGGTCAAGTTAAGTGGACTCCAAATTTGAAGTCTACCAATTTCAAGCTTTCGACAAACTGCGACTGGTAACTGTAGCTTTTTTTCTTGAGCTTCACTAGTTCACTCAGCACAGTCCAGAGTATCTATTAGAGCAATCAAAAACAGATGATTACAGTTTTCAGGCAGAGTTTTTCGCAAGGGGGAACAAACTGATTTCTATACTAAAAATCAAGTGGAAATCATAAGAAATCATGGGAAATCAAAAGGGTGTGGGTGTGGGTGTCAGATGAATACAGTATCTACAGGGACACGGACACCCACTCGGTCACACCCACATCCACACATATCCCCAATTGATTTCCATGCTAGAAATCACAAGAAATCAGCAGAAATCATGAGAAATCACGAAAATGAATTTAGAGATCAAGAAATCAGGAAATCAGTTTGTTCTCCCTCGGTTTTTCGCGAAAACTTAGACATCCGTAAACTCCGAATTTGAAGCACACTTCACTTAACCTCTTATAAGCAATCAAAGACGTTAAATTTAACTTATTTCATTTTATCAAATAATACAGCGTCTACGATCGAACAAATTTTGCATTACCCGGAGAAAATCCAATAAATGTATTATTAGCTTTGAATTTTGGGAACCTTCTCAATAAAATTATACTTTATCCCATAGTCGAAATCATTCTCCCATCGTATCTATAAACTGAATACTAGTATTTTTCCAGCCATGATACAAATCTTAATGTTTATATTCCCATGGAAATTTCGACAGGAAATAGTAATTGTATATATATATTTCAAAGCTATATTATATTTCTCTAATACCGGGGAATTGATTTATGGACTGAATAACTGATCATAGCTATTAACATTGTTATATATTTATCAAAAGAATACTCTAGACTAATATTGATTTTAATGTCGTCTTCTTCTTCTTTCTATTCGAATCGTTTCTTCTTTTAAAATAATACTATTTGCTTTTATTTTATCAAGGCAAATTAATTTTAAATTTCGAGAAATAACTTACGAGTGCAGCTAATTCTTTTTCTTGTATTAAAGTAATCATTTCTTTACTAAATTTCGAAACAAGTGAATGTGTTGTTTCTTGTTCTTTTTCCATTAATTGTTTACGAATAAGTTCACGTTTTTTTTCTCGTTTTAATGTCATATTTTGTTCAAGTTCAGCTTTTTCTTTTTTAAAACGAAATGTTAATTCCTATACAAAATAAATCATTTATAAAAAAACAAAAAAAGAAATTCAATTTTTTTTACTCGTTCAATATTTTGATCTCGTTTTTTTTGTAAATCATCTTCATATCTATCTGTAAGTAATTGTAATCTTTTTTCCCATTCATCTGTTACTTCACGTTCAAGTCTTTTTTCTTCTAATTGACGATCACTTTGAAATTTTTTAAATAATATATCTTCTTCTTCACGCTGTTTATCTTCTAGACTTTTTTGAGCACGACGTACTTCTTCACGACAATTTAAAACATCCTTTTAAAATATCAAAATTAGTTTTTTTTATTTTACTACATTCATCTATTCATACCGGTGGTAAAGCAGGAAATTTATGTATAGCGTTAATTTTTTCTCGACCATTTTGAAACATTTGTTGAGCTTTCATAGCATGGGCTATTGAGACTGATTGAGAATCAATATGTGCACTCTAATAAATATGAAAGAAGATGAAAATTTGATATTATTCAATTTATTATACTTTAAGACGATCATCAAGTTTTTGCATAACATTTAATTTTGGTGCTTTCATCACATTTCGTATATGAATATCATCAGTTGAAAACACACCTTTACCAGATCGTGGTACATGACTTTGACAATAAATTTCTTTATCACTTAAATCAATTGAATTGGTAAAATATGTTTTAAAATCTAATTGACGATCACATTTTAAACATTTAAAACATAATTTATGATAAAGTGAATCTTTAACTGGACCAATACGTTCGGTTACATAGACAAGCTGTTGACATCGACGACAACGATCGCGCGGTGATGTTAATGATGATGTTGATGATGCCGATGCTATTGTTGGTATTGTTGCTGTTTCTCCAGCAAGGTTAAATGATGCAGGAGATGTACTATGACTACTATTATTAGATGAATCTATACTTGCATTTGTGTTCATGATCTTAAAAAAAGAATAAAAAGATAAATACGTCAAAAAGTCAAAAAGTCGTCAAAAGAATAGTATGTGACGAGCACGCGCGCATTCACTAGACAATTCATTGTTCTCTCTTTTTCTCTCCCTTTTATTCACTAAACACAAAGCGCTATGCTCTTATTTACTTTGTCTCTGTGGCAGATTAGCCTCCCATTCGCTCTCTTTTTCCTTCTTTTTCTCATACATATAAAACTCATACAATCTCCACTAGTATGTCTCGTTTTTTTCTTCTATCGTCTCTCTGATTGTGGACCGACAGACCATCACAATAACAACAACAAAAACACCGCATTTTGTCTATATCTATTGAACTAGTAGACATACAGACTTTTCTTCTCTTTTTTTTGTCTTCTCAAAATGATGTTAATCGGTTTGGTGTTGACACGAAATGACGAAAAAAAAAGAAAGAGATGTCGTATAATAACAAAAATTATTCTGATGTCTTTATTAATTGTCCATAGTATGAAGGTTATCTTCGTCGAATTACTATTTACATGCATAACAAGAAGCAAAGAAAACATTCAAATGAACAAACTGAATGATGCAATAAAACCAGGGTCAAATTTTTTCTTTACTAAAAAGAAACTAAGGATTAGAAATCTGAGAAGAGACTTTTTTTTCAATTTCATTTCAATCTTTCGATTTTCTTTCTCACTAAAAATAATTAAAATCCAAACAAGAATAAACTTGTCTACTTTCTTTTTTTTCGGTACACATTTTTTAATAGAAATAAAAACTAACCAGTTTGCAGCACTTAAAAGTCTATATGTATAATAGGCGAACATTTAATGAAGCGAATATCTTAAATGTGGCGCACGATACAATAGCTTTTTTTTCTTACTTCCGATGTGTCTCTACAAAGAGAAAGAAACGATCAAAAAAAAAGAAGACGAAGAAAAAACAAAATAACACCTTTAAATGAAAGAAGAAAAAAAATTCCTATTAAATACAAATCTTTTTTTAACTATATGCATAAAATACATTTCGACATAGGATGTTGAATATCTATTGAAGTAATACAAAAAAATATTTTTAATGGGTTTGGCTGATTTTTTTACGACGTCACATAAAGGTGATATGTTGAAAAAAATATTTATTTTATTGGATTAATATTACATACATCATACAAAGATAGTCCAATCGTATTTTTTTCTCTCGTAAAATTATGTTTTATGATATAGGATTTCTTGACTACTGATATATTTTTCTCTCAGGAAAATTTAATAAAATAAAAAATCTTTTTTTCTTACTTATTCGAATGAAAAATTAAAAAGCAAAACCAAAGATTTGTCTTACGTTCTGTCCTTCATATAGTTGCTTCACCTTTGTCACATCAGTACACCTACTCTGCATACAAATCAAGAAGGAAGCAGCAGCATGCTTTGTAATACTGACAAGGTAAAATTATAATATAGTTCTGTTTTTTTTTGAAGAAATATACAGAACAGAAACAAGAAAAATATGAATTGTTAGGGTTTGGAATTATGTCAGCTATTTATTTGAATCAATACATTCGATTGTGAATACGAAAAAAAAAGAAGATTCTCAACTATTTGAAAGGCGTTAATTGACATACTGCTTTTGAAAAGGAAATATGTCCTAGGTAAGAAAAGCAATAGTGAGTGTAAATGTTAAAGGTTATCAGAATAGAAATCTAAAATGTATATTTACAATTGATAGACTTTCAAAGTTATTTGCTTTTCATTACCGAATCAGTCGAAACAAAAAAGTTAGAAGGTATTCGTCAATGGAAAATTATTCGAATAACAAAAGTTCATTTTATATATGGAGACAGCATGAAAGTTCACAGTAAAGATAACAATCGGACGAGAGAAAAAAAACGTTCGTCTCACAAATCAAGAAGTTAACACATGTAGAACATATATTTTTGCTCTATGAAAAACTTAGTCATTCGAAACGGCCTTTCCGTCAATTTATATATTGGTATTTATTATTTGTAATAAAGATGGCTATTTGATAAAAAAATCAAATGAATTCCATTAGTAGAAATTACCTAGAAAACAAACGAATCTATTACATACCCTTTATTTAATAACGAAGAAAAATTTACATTAATTTCATGTTTGGATAATCACAAAATGTCAAGTAAAACTATTTGAATGACTACTGTATGAAGGGTGTCCAAATCGAGGCTATCAATCCATAGTATACCAATTTTTGATTTTATAGATATGTCACAGCTTCATTACAGCTGTCGCTGGTTATCAATACTATTTCGTTCATTACATATATATATATAAAGAAAAAATTGTTATGGCATTGTCTAATGATAAACTTATACAATACTTTTTATTTCTATCAAAAGATAACATTTTACTGCATAGAAACTTCTTTTATTGTCTATTTGGATAGACATTAATGCTTAATAGTATATGATTTTATGACATTTTATGTTATAAATTCATAGATTTTGTCTATTAATATGACTTCCGAAAAGAAAGTTTCTTTAATCGTTTATTTTGTTAACATGTTTTTAATAATTAAGACTATAATGATGATTAGAAAGTAATCCGCATCTATAATTTTGTTTTCTATCTAGACCATTTACTAGTATTTCTAGTTATAATCATTCCTAAATGAACTACTGATTCTTATCTTTTACCTTTCACTTAGAAATTATATAAGCCTCAGATAAAAAATACGTTATATTTCTTGTTTAAATAGATAAATGAGTTGAATATGATTATATTAAAGAACGGAGTAATAATAATGGGCTACGTACCTGTTCGATCATAGAATGTGTGGTTATCTTCAAACAAAATATTTATTTTTAATAAATACATTGACAAATACCAGATGTTAAAAAACTATAGCTAATTATCACTATGAAAAATATTCTCATACCATATATATATTGAAGACTAGGTTTTAGGATTTAATTTTCTGTATGGAAGTTCAAATATTAGTTTATTTCCTTCGATAATTTCTTGCATGTTGGTTTTAACTGATAAAGTCCTTGTAAAACTTTCAGATTATATTATTAATAATGACTTTTTTTTATCTGTAATATTTTAATAAGATAAATTTCTCGTTACCAAGAATTATACTGCAAGATAAAGAATTTATTTGCTTGGTATTTACATGTATTCAAGATATTTTGATTAATATCAATTACCTATCAACATTCATATTGCCCATTTCTTATTGTTCTATCTTATGTCATAGTTTTTTGCTTCCAGTGAAACCAGAATGTAAAGAAAATAACAGATTGTAATATTCATCCATATATGAGAAGCTTATCAGTTGACAAAAAGTGAGGCAGACTGTGACATGATCTATTTTACATCAAATATGCTTATTGTATAATAATCATCAAATTTAGTCTAATGAGAAATTGATTCGAATGAATTTTTTACTTTTTGAAATAATACATAGATAATGAGTTGTTAACCAATAATAAGCAAACTATTATTATGTATTTGTTAATATAAATTTTTTAAAGAAAAATAATATCTTATTAAAAATTAATTAAGATAAACAAGATATATTCAATTATAATATATTTTTGTTATCTACTGCCATCTACATTTGTCTATTTCGTTCAATTGGCCACTGAACATTGTTCTTTGTACACAGTCCTTGTTTCTCATATCAGTATGCTTCCATCGAAAACTTCCATGAACTAATCATGTTTGATAAACTAATATCTCAAAATTATTTACTTCTTTTACTTAATATTGATCCTACACAATCATCTCCATTAGTTAATACAAATTTATTAAATATTCGTAATGTTTATTCTTCATTTATTACAATAAATCGTGAAGCACATGTTTGGTATCAAGAAGTCTATCATACTCTTGAGAAAATTCAATTTGGTGGTTCACTTGGTAGTAATGGTCTTTTAATAAAAGGTTCAAAAAAATCTTTAAATATATTAAAACGTATTTATTGTCAACGTTTATTACAAGCACCATATGGTTTTATTATTTCAGACCTTGGTAAGAGTTTTTCTTTCGTTTTTCGATCGTATAACAAAAAAAGACAGATAAGAAGAAGTATTATATAACTACAAACAGAAAAAAAACAGTGAAATGATAATTGTGAATATTGTCTGTAGATTTCTTGTGTAAATAATTTAATATCATTTTGATTACGTAATCGATTAAAATTTAAATCTTGTATAAGTATTCCTGAATTAAAATAATAGCAAACACCTAATATAAAATAAAATAATATAGCCCATATACTAATTATACTAAAAAGAATTAATATCGATGAAGAGATAAAATATTGAACGATGGGTAATTCAGGTTTTGAAAGAACATTCGTTGTTTGAAGAATACTTAAGATTGATTTTGATATATAACTATTACGTTTTTCGACAATCATTCCTATCTAAAAATTAAGAACAAAACGATATTGAGTTTACTCAAAATATCTTACATTTGTTTGATCATGAAAAACAATCGATAGAATGACTAATGGAAAATTTCTATTGGAATGATAATTAAATATGAATAATGCGCTTAATCCTCTTATTTTTGTCTTTCTAGTTGAATTGAGTAATATTCATGTGAAAAAACAAGAACGTGATCCACTTATATCATTACCTAATGTATTATGTTTGATAATTAATGATATTAATCGACGTAGTAATGGTTATGGTGCATCGATGGATGAAATTAAGACAACATTAAAATTGCAATATCCGGAATTTCCATTACCAACTGATGATATACTTTATAGTACAATTGGTACATTAATTCAAGATAAAATTTTACTTCTTAAAAGTAAGACATTCGTTTTAAAAGAATTAGTTTTATATAAGGAATATTTATTTAGATGGTGGTTATATAACATTACCTTGTGAACAAGCCAAACAAGTTAAAACACAATTTATAACAAAAGATCACAAACTTTATTCAAGTAAAATTTGTTAATTAAAAATTTTGTCGAAATATTCGTTGTTTTTCTAATCTAGATGAACCTAAATCTATATTTTCACGTTTAATACACGGTTTTCGCCGTCGTGATCAGAATCATGCACCACCATTTGCTTTCAATGCTCAATTACTCTCGTCTCCTAATTCTAATCCTCATTATGAAAATCCACGTGTTGTTACTGATTATGGTATGATTGAACCAAATACACAATTTCGTGCATCATCACGTTCACATCCTCATACAATGCGTCGTGCATCACTACGTACACAGTCAACAGATACTCGTCAACATCATCAACATCATCATCATCCACAACAACAACAACAACAGCAGCAACCACAACAAATTCTTCCAACTCCATCGTCATCCATACAAATGCGTCGTCCTCGACCACGTTCATTTAGTTTTGATGAACAATTATCAATAATTGATGATGATGATGAATCAGTTGCACATGATATGCCATTTAGTGTAGCACCAGTTCGTCAATTTCAGCAACAACAACAACAGCAGCAGCAACAAATTCAACCTCAACATCGTCGTTTAAATACATCAAAAGTTAGTTCACGTTGTCGAGCTCGTCGTCGTCGATCAAGATCCTTAACAAAACGAACAAATAATCGACCAACAAATTCCCAACAACAACATGAATGGTTACATACAACTGATAATCATCCAGGTTCATCATCAAGCGAAGAAATCGAAGATGATGATGAAGAAGATGAAGATGTAGAAACAGAAGCACATTTTTCTCCACGTTCAACATCAACAGCAGCAAATCGGCCACGAAATCGTAAACCATTACTTCATGCATCAGATTTTGATCGACGTTTATGTGAAGCAACAACAACAGCCACAACAATAGTACAAGTAAATGAACGTGAAAATTCTTCTCCAATCAATACAGATAATATTCAACATCATACAAGTCCTGTTTCTCAACCATCAACTGAACCTGATGAAATCAATTTAATTGTTTATAGTACGAATAATAATGATTTATTAAATACTACAATAATAAGTCGAAAAAGTGATACAAATACATCTTTAAAAAAACTATCAACTCATGAAAAACTTATTGCAATTCGTTATGGTTCACCTGATTCAGGTATAAGTGGAAAAACTTAATTGATTTATCGGAAAATTTTCTTTTCTTCTTCTTTTTTTTTTGTTATTGTATATTCGATTAAATTATATATGAAGTTTACTTCTCAGGAAATCAACTTGTTATTCTTCATTTTTTTTGTTTGATAATAATTATAATAAAAAATCTAACCTGTTTTTCTTGTTCTTCCTGGACATGTAGCTTTTGCTACACAAAATTACATATTCTTCTTCTTTTTTATGTTTATGCTACTTTCAGGTTTGAGTTTTTATCTATGCAATGCCCAACGACTATTTCACTTAATGATTTACATATTATTGACAACGCTAATAATATCGTTCGTTGGCATAGAATGTCTCAATGTCCAATTTGTTTGCAACCGATACCCTATGGTATGTAGAAAATATTTAACACGGAAGAATTCTATTTCAATTTTTAGACGAACGACGAGTATTAGGAGGCAAAGTTTTACATAGCGGTTGCACCGTTTGTGTTGTATGTCATAAATCAATTGGTGAAGGAGCTTTTGAGCAGGTTTGTTCTATGAAAAGAATAGATTTAATTTTCTATATTTTTTAATATTTAGGAGAATGATAATATTTTTTGTATCAATTGTTATAATGATGTAAATAAATCAAAATTAGAAACTTCTTCCATAGATACAATCGATAATTCTTCTAAAAATGATGAAATACTAATTAATAGTGAGTCGTCTATAGATTCAGCTGCTCGTTATGGATCAATAAAGTAAGTATTTTTCTTATATCATACTACTTTTCATTATTTATTATAATTGAAATAGATCATTTATTGAACGAGTATATTTATATAATGAATACAATGAAAAAAAGACATCGCATTTAACTGTCACTCAGGTATATTATTCTTATTAATTATCATATCGATATTAATTTCGTTTTTTTATTAGACTGATGGTAAAATACGTATATCCGGTATGCTTCGTATTTATTGGAATATTAATACACCGATTAAACTTAAATCTGGTCAATCGATACCACTCGGTAATTATATATATATTTTTGTTTTTCATTTCTTAAAATTATTCTGTTGAATAGGTTTATATCCGAAATCATTGGGTATTTATGATATGAATGAAGATAAAATGAATAATGAGAATGGTAATGATCAACAATTATCAAAAGTAAATCAAAAATTCAATAATATCGTAGATTACAAACTCAAAAATATATAAATAGGATAATAATTGATGACTAACAATTCTTTTATTCTTCTTATAATTGCAATTTCTATGAGTATCTCTATTCAACATTGAAATAATTATAGAATCTATTATTAGCTATAAATACTTTCTACACATAGAAACAGTTTTGCATGAAGTACGAGAAAACATTAGCAATCGTCTACTAGTTCGAATTAATCACAACTAGACATGTAGCGAACCCGAACGTTCGGGTGGTTTGGACCGAACTCTAACAATTTAAGCATCGAAATGATTTTTCTGACATGTGTGGAAGCATAATTTCTCTTAATATGTCTCCATATATATATCAGAAAAATCATTTAGATGCTTAATTCGTTAGAGTTCGGTCCAAACCGCCCCGAACTCAGTGATTTATCTAGAGGGATGGCAAGGGTGGCAGCGCCCTCCCAGAGATCGATTTTGCCCTCCTGAAAATTGCAATTTTTGTGCTTATACTGTGTATTTTCCTTCCAGAAATTAGATTTTCGCTCTCCCGGAAATCGCTATCGCACTCTCGGAAAGAAAAACCTAGATAAAACACTGTCCGAACTCGAACTAAGTTCGGGTTCGGTTACATGCCTAATCACAACTATAATATTGATTGGTTTTCTATCAGAATTTAATTACTACTTCAAAAATATGAATTTTTTTAAACTCCTAATTAGAATTTGTTGATTCCATAATTTATATTTTAGAATTTTGATTCCGTCTCTAAACGTTTATGTTATGATGATACTATTCTAACAAAATTATCTTTATCCGATGATAATGATCCAAATCAGATAGGAAATCTACGACGTGTTCAAACAATTCGTGTTTCATCTAATCAACGTAAACCATTACGTATGGCATTACCAACATTTCTTCAATCATCAAATGACGATGATGAAGTAAATACTTTTTTTTTCGATATTTAAAAATCAAACATTTTTGTTTTTCATCTAGGCTCGTTCATTTATTCCAGCTAAAGACAGTATGACAACAGTGTATATCGATAGTGAAACAACAGTTCATGAAACAATATCACTTTTATTTTCTAAACATTTTATTGAAGAATTAAATTCGAATTTATTTACATTATATAAAGTTGAACAACGTAATGGTAATTGTATTGAAATGAGTGATGATGATTATCCACTTATATTACGTATATTAGCTGGTCCATTTGAAAATGATATATTATTTTATTTAATGGAACATGGAAAATCTAAAACTGTTCCATTAGAAGTATCAAATTATCTTGTATTACCTGATGTTATGTTACGAGCATTTATTGATAAATTTTCTTATGAAGAAATTGAACATATACATATGATTAAAAGAAAATATTTAGCATATAAACAATTATTATTAAGACAATTTGAAATAGTTATAAGTCAATCATAATCAACGAAAAAAACCCCTATATAACAATGAATTTTTTTTCCATAATAAATATCAGATAGTCATGCATGTTGCATTTTTTTTTAGATTTCGTTTTCTTTTCTAATGGCAGATAAGCCAGATCAGAATGATGATATACTCGATGGAATTTATCCTCGAATGAAGTATGAGAATGTTTTATTTTGTTAAATATAAAGAAATTCATGTTTTTTTAGTATTTTACAAGCGGAAAAAATTGGTTTTACAGATATTGATGAATATTTTATGGGACATGTCAAACGTGGTACAGCTATTATTATCAATAATAGAGATTTTCATCCAAATACAGGTTAGAATTCATATTTTAATATCGAATAGACAATAGAGGTCGAGAACTAAGCGAATAATTCGAATCGAATCGATTACGAATGAAGGCGTCAATATTCGTTTCATTCATTAAATAATATAAGGTCAGACGAATAATTGACACATGCTCCGTCATAGATTAATAAAGGCAGAGTTTATGTGGATAGATAAAATATTAAATAATGATTCTGTATGGTAGAAATCGATAGATAGGAGTCTGTTGGAAAAAAGTACATTAACTTGTAACAGTCGAATCGAATCGAACCCGAATAAACATTTCGTTTCGGTCTTTGGTAGACAAAACTAATTTAATTATAATATCTTTATATTTCAAAATATTTAAATTACCTGCTGACTAATTAATTAGTTTTCTCAATAGCATTTATCTAAGAATGATAAAAAACATGTCTGGTGATACGTTTGTTGAACACGATTGTCAATACTCATCCGTACGAAGATAATTAGTTCCATGACGAATATCAATTGTTATGTATTATATATTTTCGATATTCATTAGCGTAGATGAACTTGAAGATAATCTAATATTTTTTATCATTATAAATGAAATGAATCATATTTAGGATTAAATACACGTGATGGAACAAATATGGATGCTAGCCGATTAGATATGACTCTTTCTGATCTTGGTTTTGATACAAAAGTATATCATAATCGAACAGCATTACAAATATTAACAATTGTTGAACAAGGTATGGAAAAAACAAGTTTTGAAATTCAAATTCTATATCTCAAGATATTGTTTAGAAGCCAAAGCAGATCATTCAGAATGTGATGCTTTTATATTTGTTTTATTATCACATGGAGATGAACGAGATATTGTCTATGGTTTCGACCAACCACTTAATATAAGTGCTTTAACCGAACCATTTAAACGATCAGCTAATACACTTCTTGGAAAACCAAAACTTTTTATTTTTCAAGTTAGTAAAGACATATTTATATCTACGTAGGAATATAATACTTTTTTCATTTATAGGCATGTCGTGGTCAAAAAGTTATGACATCTCATCAAAAGTTACCCCAAAAAGATAATAATGAAATGCTTGGTATTACATCACATATACCCGCTGAAGCTGATTTTTTATTAGTTTATTCAACTATACCCGGTAATATTTTGTTGGAATTCCTATTAAAAAATATTAATATTTCATTTTTCTAGGTTATTATGCATGGCGTAATTCAATGAAAGGTTCATGGTTTATTCAAGCACTATGCGATATGTTAAATAAACATAGTCATGAATGGGATTTTTTAAGAATTTTAACTAAAGTTAATCGCCGTGTTGCAATGGATTATCATTCAAATTGTTCGGATCCTTATATGAATCAACGTCAACAAATTCCTGTTTTTGTTTCAACATTAACAAAAGATCTTAAATTATTTTCGAAATTCAAATAATTTTTGTATATTAATTATGTCAGATACACTAAAAATTCAACTAAAATTTATTCGAAATCTTCCTTTTTCTTCTTCTTCTGTTGTGAATATATATATATAAATAAAATTCATCTAAGTCATTTTTGATACACTAAATGTTGGTAGAATAAAAATAATTCCGATGAAAGAAGCAATGATAATTATGATAAAAAACCAACAACATAAACATTCACTAATACGTGCTTGTTTATGCCATTGATATCGTTGATAATCTTCAAATTTTAATGATTCTTCACGTTCAATTAATTGTTTAATTAACAAATCTGTTCCTCCTTTATTATCAATACCATTTGAATGTAAACCATGTGTTATTAATTTCACACGTGATAGACGTGCTGGTTGTGCATCATTATTTTCTTTTTTACGTAACCAATTTGATATAAAATGTATTCCACCATAATAAATCGAATGTATAATATGATCAAAAAATAATGATAAAATTTCAATTAAAAATATTAATGATAAATATCGTATTATTAATGGTGTATGTGATAATTGTTCAGTTGAAATTTTTTTATCAAGATATATAATAAACATTAATGTTGCTAAAATATGTAATAAACCAATAATTAAACGTTGATAAGATTCAATAGATGAAAAATAGAAAATAAATATAAACACAGAAAAAAATAATGTTGGCAAAATTGTTGTATAAATATGTGATTCACGACGACGTTGAATTAATATATAGATATTTAAATGATCTAAGTTTCCATTTAGAGTTTTTGGTTTTATACCAAGTGTTTGAATAAACCAACCACGTGAAAGAATTGGTTTTATTGTTTGATTATTTTCTTGATATATGAGTGTTAGATTTTCAGTGGAATGTTTTTCTATATCATTAAATAAAATTTTCCATAAATTGAATGAACGTGGTAAATGAGTATTGATTTTCGAAATATTATGTTCTTGATATTGTAATTTTAATTTTTGTTCTTGATTATACATATTTATACGTAGATATTGACGATCAAATGGATAATATGTTAAATCAATGGGTGATGTTACTATAAATAAACCACGACGTATCCATTGAACAAGACCATTACGATGGACTTTAGCTGATTCATGTTCAATATCAAATGATACTGTATCATTATCAAATAAATGAATATCAGGTAACCAAAGAGATTGTAGAATTGTTTTAGTTAATATAATTTCATCAATATCATAATAACGATTATGTGTATCATTAGAATTCCAATGAAGAAGATCAAATTGATAATCAAGTTGTATCATTGCTCGAAAATGATATTCATTTATTGAACTATCAATTTTAATTATATCTTGAATTGAAAATTGAATATCAAATGGTAATATTAATTGATTATCACGAAATTGTCGAGCAGCTAATCGATATCTAAAGTAAAATTCTTATAAATCTTAAATCTATTATATTGATAAAATACCTTCCAACAACTTCCGTAAGTAATTCATGTTTAGGATCAATCGTTGTTCCAGTTAGATCAATGTCAGCTTGAATAGATATAATCATAATCATCATGAATATATTTAGTTGAATCATTGTTGAATGACTTTTGTTATTGAATTGTAATCGGTATGGAGGCGCGACATATGCGAATGATTAATATTGACTTAGGGATCGAACAAAAACGTGAAAGACGCCATTGTCCACACCTACATTGACACATATGTATGAACGAAAAAGAGTAAATTAATTGATGTTCAAAATGGGCAAACATTGAAGAGACACGAATATTTGATGTGTCGTCTTATATTGACTTTTGTTCGTTCAAATGAATTTAAGAAAAAACGAAAATAATTATAAATATTCTATTTATGTATATGTATGTATATATATATTTGTAGAAAAAGAGAAATAATGTCACACGAAAGACTCAATGGGCTCGAACAAAAAATAATAAAACCGGATTTTAAGTAAAAACAAACAAACAAATAAAAATATAATGTTCACTCAATTTTTTGAAAATGTTGCCGATTTTTTTCAACATCATTAATCCAGTTTCTTATAACTTGTTCTTTTTCTTGTGACATTAACTCATTTTCTTCAATATATTTTTTAACATTTGTATATGCATATGATATATTTGGATCACGAGATTCATAGGTTTGAGCTGATGCATGTCGTTCTCCTGATTTATATGCTGCTGTTGTTGCTGTTGCTGTTGTTGTTGCTGTTTGTCCACCTGATGTACGACGATATTTTACTTGTGGTACAATTTGTTCTTTCGATGTTGTACGTGGTACATCGAAATGTGAAAAATCCATTCGATCATTATTTATATCATTAATATGAAAATCTTGTGTTGAATTATAATGACCTTGTTGATTTACTCCCGTAGCAGGAACATGAAATGATTTGGATTTATTTGATGATAATGGTTTTCTATTTGTTGCTAAATCTAATGTTGAATCATATAAACGATGTGTATTAGCATATGAATTTATTTGATGATTACTTCCATCTAATATACTACTTGCATACATATCTTTATCATTAATTTCATGATATGTTGTTTTAGAATTAACATAATTTCTTTGTTTGGAAGAAACTTGTCGTGATCGAATACCATGATGAAGATATTGTGGACGATCAGTTTCTTTTCGCATAGACGTAGAATAATCAGTTGCTCCTGGTGATTTATCTAAGAAACTATTTGTATGACGACGTCTTATTGCATGATAAGGTTTTGCTGGAGATGCTAAAAGTACATCTGCATTATTCATATCATCTCGTGGATGTTGTTGTTGTAAGGGTGATGGAATTTGAAGCATTGATCTACCAGTTGGAGCCGCTGTATTTTCATGTGATGTTCCATTACTTAAACGTTGTGATAATGCTGCTAATTTATTTTTTATTGGACTATTTGAACGTATATGTTGATGAGAAGCATTTGCATTATTTTGATGTTCATTCCATACACAATCAGTTGATCGATAAACAGCTATAAAAAGAAAACAACAATAATAGATACAAAAAAAAATAATATATCGTTATTTTTTTAATTTTTCTCTTCTCTTAAGGTATGTTATTTTTTGTCTAGCACACTTTACGAACATGCTTTTTCATTTTAATGAAAGTAAAAGAATAAATATCTAGAGTATTAATAAGTTTATTTATAAAAAGAAACTTGCTATTACTATTGAAAATGTTATGTTTAACTCACTTTTTGTTGCAGGGTCAATTTGTGCAGGAGATCCAATTTGAATAATTGATGGTGAACGAATAAAAGATGAAACTGATACAAAAGGTGACGCAACAATAGGAGCTGCTGTTGATGATGTCGATGTTACATATTTGTTTCCGTTTGATGGTATTAATCGACTACTTCTCATTGGATTTCGTCGTTGTTGATCTATTGATTGTTGTCGTCGAATATGTTGTTGTTTCGAAGCCAAAGGAGTTTCACTTGTTCCACTAGCATTAACACCATGTAAATCTTCCAGCGAAGACCTCGAATGATTATTTATTGGAGGTAATGTATTGTTCATAGAAGATAATTTACTATGTAGATAAGAAAAAAACGAATAATCGACAAACGCATATTTTCAACAATATTAATAAATTATAGACACAAATGTGACAATTTATTCCTTTCGGTCATGCTTCTTTTTTATTTTGAAATAAGAAGCCTTTCAGTTCTTTTTTTTTATTTTATTTTATTTTATATAGAGACATATTCAATCAATTGTGCTATATAATATAGAACTTTCATACTGATAATATACGATAGAAATATTCTATACTTACAGCATATTTATTTTATATTTTTTTGTGTTAGTAATAAAATAATAATAATAATAATAATAATAATATTCAGCAAATCACTAGTAGATATATTATGAGCAAAATATAAACATGAAATAGTTCTCCTTATAGTAAGTGTATTGATGAAAAAAAAGTGAAAAGAAAATAGAAAGACGAAAGAAAAAGAAAGAAATCAAACGAAAATTTTAAACAATACTTATTGAAAAGTACTGTGTTATTTCTAGTGTCGTTTGCTCTTTTTTCATTATTGAATAATAGAAAAAAAGCAATGACGACAAGAAAAGAACACCGACGAGCCGTGATGTGTTCTTCTCTCGTTTATTCTTCTGTCCTTCCATTCTTCTTTTTTTTTTATTTTTTTGAAATAATCAAAACGACTCTCCTCGTTCGCTCAAATATGCACTCACTATTAGATTGTCATTCATTCTCTACTTCTCCTTGTAAATTTTTTTTTTGCCTTTTTACATTTAGATAATAATATGTATTATATATATATATACCTAGACGTAAACACATTTTTTACTTTATTTAATTAAACCAATGACATAGACAATGAAAAAAAAGATTCTGTCAGACAGATATTCAATATACAACATGTCTAAAGACAAAAAGATATGAGAAGAATGTAAAATATAACAAAAGTTTTATGATTATCAAATAAAGTTACACACACTTAACCTTACAGCCTTTAATCAAAAATACATACCCTATGACAGGACTATAATTGATGAACATATATATTTTTATGTATTAGACGACAACAAAACACTTTAACGAATTACTGTATTGTATGTTGTAATATTTGTGTATGTATGTATGTATATAGAAAAAAAAACACGAGTCTGATTGTTTCGTGTCAATTGTCTTCTTCCTATAGAAGTCAACACTCAATATATAACATCAAACAAATGATTACAGCTGTCTACATATGATTATTTAGATTAGTTTATTTAAAATAGTGCATTGTCAACGTTACTTCGATATGTTTGACTGATTTCAACAAAAAAATAATACGTTAAACAAGAATCCACAAAACAAAAATAAATATAATTAACTAAAATCAAGAGAGAATTCTGATGAAAAACAGACATATTTCTTTTTTTCGTTTTAATTCAATATATCTATCGGTCAAGTATATTAATAAAAGAAAAAAAAAATCTTTTGAAATTATTAATTATTTTCATTGTTAGAACACATCGTTTTTCTTTTCAAAATCATTTTTGCATAAGAAAATAACTGAACTTTAAAGAACAGGTGATGAAAATTAATTGTTTATATTGAATATGAATGAAGAAAGGGTAAGAGAAAAAAAAACGCTTTTCATTATCTTGTCATAAAAAGAAAAGTTAATTTAATTTTATTCTGAAATGCTTGAAGTCTTCCTTCAACGGCACACGTAATGAGAATATTTTTTAGTGCAAAAAGAAGATTTCTAAAGTTCTTTTAGTATTAATTGTTCAGAATAGACTAGACATTAAATTTTCAGAACATATGATTGTTAATAATAGTTCACTATCGGTGGTTATGTTTTGATATTAAAAAGTAAAAATATTTTTAGACGTAACAGGAATTGCTATTAAACGTAAAACATCGTATTGTTATTAAAAAAGTATGACATGTACTGCATGATTTTTATAGAAATGTTATTGAATCGGAAAAGACTTTTCTTGCTTGTTAATATTGATGTGACAGATGGAAAATATCATAAAAGATATTTTACTTATTGATTTGATGCAAGTTATTCGGTTTGGGTTACACTTTGAAAATTAAACTATTCATACTTTAATTTAATGTCAAGAAGAAGTTATAGAGAACATCTGTTAAAAGATTTTACAAAGCAAGAAAAATTTTATGTTAGATTTTTTTTTAATTATATTACTCGAATAAATGTATTTATTCTTGAAATCATATGAATCAATGATATTGTAGTGAAGAAGACTATTCAATTCTAAAATAACATATTTTCATAGAGAAATAAATATTGATTTTACAAATATGTTAAGAGATAGAAGTAATTGGTTAGTAAATAATTTGAGAATAGTCAATGGCTTAATCATAATATTAAACGGGCTCGATTTTCATCGGTATTGTTGTTACTATTTATAAACTAGATTATATATATAGTATTGTTAACACCTGACTTTTCTACATGGCAGGTAAAATTACGAATGGCCCTAAGTTACGACGTCCCTTAAATGAGACAGTGGTGCGAAGAATCTCCGTACTTGCTAAAAAGAAAATTAACAACTATTATGAATAGACAAAGTCGATACCTCGGTCATATTATGAGAAATGACAAATATAGCAGGAGAAAGAAGACCCGATCGAAGAGCAACATCATGGCTGAAGAACATCTCACAATGGACCAATCTATCGAGTGAAAAACTATTGCACAGTGCTTTAGACCGAAATACTTTTAGAACACGGGTCGCAAACATTCAGTAATGAATATGCACAAGAAGAAGAAGCAACTGACTAAATATTTTAAATCGAGGAAAAGAAAAAGATATACATGCTAGCTATGTACAATAGTAAAACAAAACTGAACCGCACTATGATATTAAATATTTTTGAGAAAGTACGAAGTATTTTGTCTATTCTCACGTATTAACACATGAATTTTAAATTGTAAAATATATTTTTATTGAAAAAAGAATGCAGTTGTACTGCTCTTGTATATAATATATATTCAGATAAACATGCATAAGACTATTCGTTATAGTTGTTTCGTTTTATTCAAAATCACCTGCAATATCTCTATTATAACAATCTGATAGATGTTGAAGATAAGCTGTTTCATCATCGCCTGGATATTTTCGAGTACAATTTGGACATTCATATGACTGTGGTTCAGTATTAGCCATTGGTGAATATAAACATTTTTCAATATGTTCATACATGTCTGCATCGCTGCATGTTAATTCAAATTCATGATTACAAATAGGACATTTTTTTGGTTCAATAACAACAGCAGGTGGTGATGGTGGTGGTAATGGAATATCGATTGGTATATGTGGTTCTTCATTGTTAACTTGTTGATTACTCGAATCTTCAATTTGTGGTGGTGGTGGTGGTGGTGGTGGTGGATTATCACGTATTTGATTTAATGATGTTAAAGTCAAAGTAGCCATTGAACTGGTAGGTGATATACCAGGTGAATGATTTTCAAGTATTGTTTCATGTGATGTAGTAGTAATAGTTGGTTCTTGTTGTCCAGTTATATTATGAATTTTTTTTAAAAGATTACTAATCAAGTTAGTATTTGTAGTTGTTAATGTTTGTCTATCAGCTACTGTATCTTTAGAATTATCAATAGAAACATCAGTTGTATTGAGGCTTGTTGAAGCTGTTGCTGTAAATGAAAATAATTATAAACATCTCAAAAACAGAAATTCAATTATTTACCTGTTTGAGATACTAAACTAACAATTTCATTAATTTGGTTTTTTTGTGATTGAATAAGTTCATGAAGTTTTTTTGCATCATCTTCAATTTCAGTCCATTGTTCATAATCCTTAGCTTTATCTAAAATAATAATATTAAAATATTTCAGCAATTAACTAATTAATTATTCTTACTTTCTTCATGAGTTGTGCCAAACATTGAAGAAGTTCTACTATGATCGTTATAGATCAATTGATCGTGTGTTGTTGTATATAACATTTTACGTAATTGAGAAATTTCAGTTCTTAATTGTTCCAGTTTTTCTTCATTTTCAATATGTTGTTTATCATGTAAACAAGCTATTTCAGACATAATTTGATCT